ACGACGAAACAAGTCCCGTCCGGGAGAGCACCCGCGCAAGATCCTTCCGTCGTTAGGGCCGCCAAAGGCACGACAGGAGTCTGCCGGGAGGTCTCGGGCGATGTATGCAAGCGAGATGTTTGTGAGGTGATGCTCAGCAGCGAGAGGCAGCGAAAGCCCGACGACGGCGGATCGGCTCGAACGAGACGCCCGGCGCGGCTGGTCTGATGGCATGCACGAACTGAACATGACGTGCACGTGAGCAACGAGCAACAGGAGATCTGTCCGCAACGACCTGGATGTCAAAGTAAGTTGGCAACAAGATGGGAGCGTACCAAGTGAACTTAGATGTGGCATCCCACGTAAGTTCCCGGCAAGACCCTTTTCAGGCTCCTGTACAACTGGTGGGGGCAAGGCCGCGTCAGGCCTCGCAGAGCCCGAAACAGAGGACGACGACGGCGAGGCAGAAGCCTTGAGAAGGTGGCGGATAGGGGAGGGGGAAGAGAAGCATTTTTGGGGATGGGAAGTCTTATATAGCTCGCGCAGAGGCATCAGACGGCCGAGGCAATTCTGCGGCGAGGCATTTGTGCCGCTGTTAGACGCTGATATTAGAGCCGGCAAATGGGTGGCCGGGAACGCGCGCATTTGCCTCAACAAGGGGCACCAACGCTACATCATCGCAAACCTGATTTCCCCAGGCTTTTTGTAGGTCTTTGTGGGCGACTGTGACCGGCGCAGGTCTCACGTAGTCTCCGCCGACGTCGTCGGACCGCTTTCATGCTCCCCAGGGCGCAACGTCTCCGCCACCACCTTGTTCGCTTCCGTCCGACTCTGCCGTTTCTTAGGACGCCGTAGCCGTGGTTGACGCCACAACGCGATGAGACGTGGCACACACACTTGACAGACGGAATGAGCACAAGTTTCTATTCATGTCACAGCGAGAAGGTGAGCCTACGCTACGATGAAAACACCACAACTCCTCTGGAGCGCGAGCCAGGATTCCACGCGACCGCTTTCGCTCGCAACGCACTGTACACAAGGCTCGCACCATTCCCGTGCTACAGCGCAACGAATACCCTGTGCACGCGCTTGAACGGCGCGGCGTCGAATTCACAGCCATCCCACTTCCGCGCGAGCACACCCGCGTCATGGACCAGGCTTTGGTCGTTGTGAGCCCGCGGGGATTGTCGAAACCGAATAGCTAGCCGCGTTTTTAGGTTCTGCGCGTCACTTCTAGCGGAGGGGTCGTCTGTGTCGGGAGAGCTGTTCGCGTGCCGGGGCATGCGCCGACAGCGGGGACACGGGCAGGGCCTGACCACCGGCGGCAAGAGAGCACGGCTATCGACCGAGGGCCGCTTCCGGTCGACGTCCGGTGGCAGCCCCTCATGAACGCACGGGAAGGGCGGCGGCGGAAGCTTGTCGCAGTAGGCGTGGTAGATGAAGACGTCTGTCTGCTCGGTAAGCAAACCACCCCAGCTCACGGATGGATGGCGCTCACGACAGATTGCGCCATTCGCATTACTATTTTGCAAGCCGACCTCCTTCGCCTTGCGCAGACACCGCAACAAGCCTCGACATGCCAGCGGCGAGCAGCTTGTGCCCGCGACGAGCTCGCCTCGGCGCGGCTCCATACCGGCCGGCTCGGGGTGCGAGCGTGTCTCGGCCGTGGTATTTGTCGAATGTCGCTCAACGCCGTCGTATGCCCACAAGACACCTAGCGCACCGGATGTGCCGACTGCTCCGTGCGGTCGCACGCCCTCACTCTGGGAGGCGCTCTCGTTCGTCCCGCCTCCCTCGCGGCCTTCCACGAGCAAGGTCGATGCCAGATCCGCGTCAGCGGAAGCTAGGCAGTTATGTACTGCGCCGCAAGAGAGCTCACCTAGAGGCGGTAACAGGACGCTTATCGCTGGCAGCTGTGTCGTCAAGCTGGCAAAGACACGCGCGCCGTTCAAGTTGTTGCTGAAGGATTGCCCTGAAAGCTCGACGAGCTGACCAGCGACACACGTCTCAGCGAACGGCGCTGAAGGCGGCAGATATGCCGACGCAGGGCTGTAGAAGCTTCGAGGGGCACTCTGGCCTGCGCAAGCGTGCATTGAGGAGTTCGTGGTGGACATGCGCAGTACAGGCGATCTCAAAGTTCTCTTTTAGGGCCTATGAACGCGTTATGTATGCACACCGACACCAAGCGCCGGCGGTGCTGCCCCATATGCTGAGCCGGTTCAGGACGTCGCTCGCATAGCGGTACGTCTATTGCATTTTGGGTATTCTACAGGAGCGCATGTGCTGAATGCTAATACAGATTATCCTATCCCCAAATGTCCCATGTCTTCCGAATTACATCAGTGTATACAAATATGGTGCGCATCGCAATTACGAATGTCTCATTTACTTTTCAGCCTCGTGTTGCGGTTGCTGGGTACATCTACCTACCCTTGCCGTCCTTGGGATACTTGGACTCTTGAAGCACGCGCGGCAGGTGCAAAAGCCGCAGAAACTTCGGGCCTGCCTCCGCTTCCACCGATCCACCGGTTTTGCTCGTGAAAATTTAAGCAGCAGATCCGAACACTATTTCCAAGGCACTGCGCACAGCAGACGTGCTACCGCCTTCGTACACGTTACGCCAGGAACATGACCTCAAGCTGTTCTCCGAGGGCGCGAATCCTGGGCCGTACTCATGGCCTTTGCGTGCGTGTTTTCTGTTAGTAAGGGCATGCTGACTTCGGCTCTGCTGTTGTACCAGCACTCACAGTACTCACATTGCATCCAGCCACGCTCAGAGGCGGAATTTGTGGAGCGCTTTTTTAAAAGGATCGTCGGCGTGACCCCGAACTGTGAACATCACGTGCCTACTCAATCCGAGATCTCCGTTCCAGAGCGCCCACTCGCGACTGACCTGCCACTCTTCTCCTCTCGCAACAGTGCAGGCCTGCATTTACAACTGGAGGTCTGGAGTTTGAGCTTGAGCGGTATGTACACGGCTTGTTTCCGTCTGCTTTGGCTTATTTCATTGACGTTCTGAACACTCTACCAGTTGCCGACTCGGATGCGTTTCCATCTCGCTGCTTTCCACGGCCTGGTCCATTTCTAGGGAGGGAAGTGGGCAATATTTTCGAAAAATAAATTGGCGGAATGACGGGAGACGGTCTGCGTTGAGGCTTTATTGGCAAAGAATCATTGGCTGAGGTTGCGGGGGTTGGCCAGCTGCGGTGCGTGGCGCTTTGGCAGCTGCTTCAGACCGGAGTATTAATATGTCTCTAGGGTGCAGTCGTGACTATGCACCGACACCGGCGGTTGAACTTTCACGAATTGTTGTCCCTATGTCCCTTGGAGCGCCCCCACGGTGCTGACGACGCCAAGTCACTATGCCCTCACGAGTATCCAGATCACGAACTTACACATGGATTGTGGTTCATTCTCCAAGTTACACGCACTCGGCAGCGCAGGACTCTCAGAGCGTCCCCAAATCCCTTCAGATCTCAAGCCCACGGTTCCGTACGGGCAGCATCTAAGGCGGCAACTTCTGCGCTCTTGCAGCGCCCACCGTACGCCACCTCCGCTTTCGCTCTGCTGCACTCACCATAGGATTCTGAGGTACGAACACGAACGGGGCCCTCCGTCTCTGTTACCTTGAGACTTCACACTTGCGTGCGAAGTATTGAACATCTGCTACTTGGGACTCGGCAATAACATGTACACCCGCGCTCCTCCACTCGAGCTCGCATATCTGTCCAGTAATGCAGCGAATAATCAACGAGAAAGTTGTGTTTACACGAACGGCATCTGGTGTCTGCGCCAGACAAGAAATTTCCCGGGCCAATCCCTACATGGCCTCATCTCCTACCGCTCTCGCGTCCTCACCAATACTGAATCCGTCATTACGGCTCGAGTCGCTCCCTCCCTGAAGCCCCTATACCCGGCATCTCACGCAGAGCGACTACGTCATCTTCGCACTCCTGAATCACTGGCGCGCTTTCGTCGGCGCCGTCCGTGCTCTCGAGAATGGCCGAGCCGGCCAGTGGTGGCAGCACCACACTCGCGACGCTGTCGTGCAAGGTCCTACGAGTGTCATCTCCCAGTGCGGCGCCGGAGGCAGCGCGGGTAAGAGCCGTGGTAGGGCTGAGCTGTATCGCGTTGAGCGGCGCAGACATGGGTATGCGATACGGGTCGTCTTTGCGAAACGGGCATTCGTTGAAGTCAGTGGCGGCGCTGCCGCTGCAGCTATGCGACAGCCACCTGAAAGTAGGGTTTTCACATGTAGTGACTTCTGCGTGTGCCGTCTGGAGAATGTAGTGTAGCATGGCCCAGATGGATGGCACCGAAAGCTTGTAGAAGGCTATCTCGAAGGCGTGCATCAGTAGTCGGAATTCCGTGGTATTGAGCCGTGATAGGTCGCTGTGCCTTCGATACAGCCTCTCGAGCAGGAATTTTAGATCACGATGTTCAAACCTGAAAGCAATGTCTATGCGGCGTATTCGGTTGTATATGAGTCTGTTAAGGAATTCCTCAATGGTGGTGGTCGTTTTCTCCAGAATCGCCTTCGCGGAGGTGATATCACCAAAAGAGGTCTCTCGTTCGAGCCAGCCAATTGCGGCACCGAAGATCATAACAAGATATTCGTCGCTAGTGCTGTCAACCCTGAGATTCTCGACAAAGTAGCGGAGCAGTAGTGCTTCGTAATCTGCGGCTGTGGACTCGCCATCATGAAGTTCTGTACATTCGGGTATTGAATATCACAGCCTGCATAATGCAACATGAGAGCACGGACCTAGTGTCTTAGCCGGGGTGACCACGAGCCGGCCTTGACGAAGGGCCTCCTGGAAGACAGAAAGCCGGACATCTTGGTACTGCGGTGGGAATTGAACCTGAATCATGGCATGTAATGCTTCTTGGTACCATGTGCATGTCTTATCTCGCAACACAGCCCTTCCCCCCTCGTGGTAGTTCCAGCTTTTGCTTATGGTTACGTGCTGTAAGATTGCCGAGAGTTCTGCTGCCGCAGGAGCCAGGGTGTCTCCTCGGGCGACAACACGCCGCAGGTCGGCCACAAGCATTTGTCCGTGGATATGACTCACATGGAAGGGACGAATAGGCTACTCTCCTGGAAACGGCCTGAGTAGACAGAGCGCAGATTCTGAGCCATGGAGCAGTGCCGAATGCGAATGCGTGAGCAAATTTTCCTGCAGGGCGAGAAGAACGCATCGGGTCGCCACTACGTTAACCGCGGCATCGATGAAGTCGAACGTCGATAGTGCAGACGGTGGTTCAGGATGGATAGACTCAATGCACTGTTTCACAAAATCCAATGTGCGTGGGTCCTGGGACGATTGTTGTACCCAACTAAGTGCGCGAACAAGGTAAGAGGTCTCGGAAATGTCCTTGAGGACTGCGTCTGCTGCCACCTGTTCGAGCTGTGATGGACAAGGAGACATCTCCGAGAGTATCTTGCAAACAGCCTTTCGAACTTCATTTCGATCAAAAGATTTTCCATCGAGTTTTGGACTGATATCTCTGCAGCTCTGAAGGTCCCATTCCCTCCAAGAGGTCGGCCAGGTAGCGGCACAGCGGACCCAGGTTTCTCGCATGTGAATTGCTAATATGGGACGGTAGAATCTCTGCCAGGAGCGGAACAAGAGGTGCCGGTGATACTTCACAATTGCGAAGCAGTATGCGGGAATAATTGTGATGGCGTAATATGCAGAGACGCATGCCCATGCAGTTGGTGACTTGTAGGGGCAACGTGTGAAGAAGATAGGGAGGACGGTGAAGGCGGAGGCCACAAGCAGGAACAATACGGCAAAGACAGTGACAACCTTCGCGACGATGTCATCGAGCGTCCAGAGAAGAACCACGATACCGGTAAGAAAGAGGACCATGGCAAGCTCGAGGAGAGCGGGAATGGATGAGATGGTAGCGGCGACATTCCAGGCTTCCCAAGCCTCAATGCGAACCTGCCGCACGAGCACATTCTCTCGTGCAGAAGGTAGTGCAGAGTTCCACTTGAGATACTCGCGAAGCCACTGTTTAGCAAGGATTCCAAACAGCGCAGCGGCGAGACTGAATATCAGGCTCAGGAAAAAGAGTATGTTGATTGACCGCACAGCTGTGGACGGAACGAACGGTGCTGTGTCGAGGAGGGAGAAAAGAGTGGAATTCATGGTGGATGGAACAATGGTACTAGTAGCACGGAGCCGCGCAGATACACTCAAGGCGAGGAGCTGGTTCGTCGTAACGGAGTCGTCCTCAGTGAGCATCGGATATGTCTGTACAATGAATCCAGTTAGAATGGCGGAAAATAGGCCAGCCTAGAGAACACATTTGGTGAGTTCAATTCATCGGGCAGCGCAAAGGTCGGTGAACACACGAAGACGAGCAATGTGTCTATGTCTTCTGCATAATCCCTCATTTCCGCAGTGTCGTGCTTTATCACGTGCCTCTCTATGGCCTCCCATCCGGAGGCGGTCTCAGAGAACTTTTACAAAAATTGGACTTTGAGTAAGAGCCTCAGAGCTGCAAGATAGGGGACGCACCTGAGGCCAGCCTCCCGTTGGTTTGTTGTGATCAGTGTTGAAATTGGGGAGTGGCATAAGTGGTATGTGGAAAAGGGTAGGTTGGCAGCTGCTAGGCTTGGGAAAAGAAGAGCGATGGCAAGTGTCATGATGTCAGTTGCCATGATGTGCGAAGTCTTGAGGCGCTGCTGCACTGCTGCACTTTTTCCAGAGGCCTCATGGAGGTGGGGTGATGATGCATCATCGCCATCTTAATGGCTAGTGCTTGAAAGATTAACATCCGAAGGCTTGGAGCTTCCGAGTCGGCTTGAAGTTCATTGAGGCATGTAGAAGGCTCAAACAAATTGGTGCCAATTGACCAAAGAAGCAACTCATGATATAACTTGCAAGACTTCGGTTTTACAGAGGCAACAGTGCATGGCTGGACAACACGCTCGGGCGATTGATCTACGCCGTCAATTATGGTGATGTAAATCAGCACACGTAGAAAGTGCTATCGTATCCTTTGGACGCATGCTTCGTGCTGCTTTCACGTATAGTGAGTTGTTACGTGTAATGCAGAGTGTTGGCAGGCGCGTTGGAGGCGCGTGACGCTGGATGTCGTCTATGGCAGCAACGAGAACTTGGCGGAGTATACCCGGCAAGGCGTAGGCGCCTTATGGCCTCGAAAAAGAAGAGGGAGGTGGATACATGTATAAAAAATGGGATGAGGGTGTGGTGCTGGGTCGCAACTCGCAACTCGCAAAGCATGCCATTAATTGGACGACAGTCACGTGACCGTTCGGCGTCTCTAGCCGGGTCGCCTAGAGCACTTCGGGCCAAATCTTACACTTCGCGGTAGCTACTTGCCTTGCTACCTGCGCGACAAAAGAATCATATCCTATATGCGCATGTGAAACGAGATAACACGAGCACAATAGCCTATACATCGATAGTATTCAACATTAATATTCCGACTTTGCTCCACCCTACAGTGGTAAGATATCCGGCACCGGACCCACGGCGACAATCTTGGAGGGATTGATCTGTCGGGATGCAAATTCAACGTCAGTTCCGATAGAATCATATATAAGTTGGCTTACATTGCCCATGCTATAGTACGTCGCTTTGATATGCTGGAAGTTGCACGTGTCCTTGAACGCGGGAACAGTCCAGTAGAGCTTGCGCAGCCAGCGGTGAAGAGCAGGGTAGTCCGCACGAATGCTGCGGATGTTGCATTTGAAGTGCGTGTGGTACGCGACGTCGAAACGGATCTGCATGTAAATGTTAAACACCAGATAGAGCGCGCAAAACGATGCGGTGCGGAACGACGTACGATAGTGACGAAGAGGCGCACGTCTGCCTCGGTCAGTCGATCGCCAATAAGATAGTCCTTTTTGGCGATGATCCCCTCGAGGCGGTCGAGCGACTCGAAGAGTGCGAGGACCGCGTCCTCGTATGCCTTCTGCGTCTGCGCGAAGCCGGCCCTGTATACTCCATCTATGGACACATTGGGCATCAGCTTACCAACAGGTTTCTTGTTGCGGAACACTTACTGTTGACAGTGTCGTACACCCACTCGTTAAGACTGTCAATCTCAGAGCGGAGAGACTCGGGATAGAGGTCGAGCTTGGCCTGGTCGGGAGGCAGGAGATGGTTGAAAGCGCTGTTGAACATGCGAATAATCTCCGAGCTCTCGTTATTCACGATCGTATGCTGCTGCTTGTCCCAGATGAGCGGGACAGTGAACCTAGCATTGCTCATCAGCAGAAGTTGAGAGATGACAGGTAACCACAAAGCATACCTGCCCTCGTAGTCGGGCTGTACACGGAGGTACAGGTCCTTGAGGTGGCCTGCCCCGTAAAGGGGATCCTCGTCTGACCCGGGGAACGGATCAACGTTGGCAAACGGCCAGCCATTGGCGTCCATGCGTGGCACGGCGGCAGTCACCGCTGATTTGACTTGAGAGTAAAAACAGGAGTGGGGAACATACACGCTTACGAATGATGTCTTGGAGGCCCTTGAGCTTCCGAACAATCAGAGTACGGGTTGCCCAAGCTACGACGGAAATTCAATAGCGTCCTCATCGCACATCCTGGAAAGACATACGGCATCCGTACGTCACGTAGAGGTGGTAGCGTCCTACAGTTATCCCAATATCAAGCGGACGCCGACAACAACACACACAACTGGCGGCCGACCTTTTTCGGGCTTGAACTGGCCGTCCTGGGAGATCCAGTTCCTAAAGGTGGAGGCCTTCCTGTTGAACGACCCATTTGACTCTGCCGGTACTTTCCGAGAGTCGAACTGGCTCGCGTCGCGCGTCGCGTGTTCGCGCTGCTCGGCGTCGGTATGGTGCTGCTGGAGCGCTGTATGCTGATGCGGAAGCGCACTGCCTGTGCTCATGCTTGCTTTACTGCTGGCGAAATATGCTGTACGGAGAGGCGAGATGTATCGTAGTGACGGACAGCGGAGCGTTGTAGAGGAAAGCCTGCACAAGATGGCCGTCGTGTATCAAGCGTAGGGGGAGAAAACTCGAGCTATAAGTATCTTCACGCCCGGTGAGGTCATCCGTGGCTCTGGTTGACACACCTGAGTGGGAAAAGGCGTAACTCCATTGGATACACACGCGTGACCGCAAGAATATTCCTAAGAAGGATGTTCATGATGGCAGCTTTATTGACTGGTTTGATAATGAACACAGACCAGTTGTTAACGAATGGGCCACTGTCCTTATCACTGGCCACTGACACTGATGCAGATCGCCCAGCACGTTGCAACGCCGATTTGATTCTGGCGGCACGTACGGACTACGGAGGATACGTGAAACGCAGACACCGGGAGTAGCACGTCGGCTCGGGTCAAGACACCGGGGACTTCCCTCCGCGTGCAAAGTCGTCCTGCCACCGTTTGTTGTGTTGTAGCGTTGCTAGCACTTGCGAGCTTTTCGTACTGTAGTGTGCGGTCATGAGAGCTCCCCTGAATACATTTAGACTTGAACGAACTTCTGTTCGACCTGCAAACTTCGGGCGAGTCACGACGGCCGGGAGAAACAAGCTCACAAGCCCGTGGGAGTGAGCTGTACAGTTTGAAACAGTCACCAGCTCTCACCGGCACCGTCTGTCGTGCAGGGCAAGCGAGGCTGTAGCAGAGCCACGGTGTTCAATGCCGAGCTGGCGACATTGTCTTATGGACTTCGTGCCATGGCCAGTGAATAAGAGGGGTGGTCGGTATCGTATGTTGGATGACGTGTATTGGAACGCCGCGACCACCACTTCACGGTTTTACGTGCACATATGAACCACAGGGTACGGATTGTATGGGCACCCTCCTGGCCTCGCAGCACCGCGTGAATGAGTCGCTTGACCAACCGATAAACCGAGTAACGCAGATGAAGATGAGCACGAGAGCACAGCCCGTCGTACAGTGCCTATAGTTGCACGCGATCGAGTGAATAACGCAGAAGGCAACACACAACTACTGCCAGCAATGCGAGCCAAAAGATGTGTTGAGCTAGGTGTATAACGGAAATCGGTCAAGAGCGAATGAGAATTGCAGAGAGACTCGGGGTGTATGAGCAAAGCCCTTACAGTGCAGCGCGAGCGAAGACAGGGGAAAATGGCCTAGGCTTTTGGTACTCGGGTCGACCGCCCACGCCTCTCGCCGTATCTTCCTAAAGAAATGATCCCCCAGAGGAAATCGACAGGGCAAGGAGACCAAACGAAACGAGCTCAAGCGTCTCCAAGACTGGAATTGATCGGGAGCCTGCACTATACGTCGGTATGTACGCGCTAGAAGGTCATTATGCGATAGAAGGGCTCAATGAGTTTCAGGGGTGGTATGGGAGTCGTCGGCCTTACATTCCGGTGCCCTACTGCCATGCGCCGGAAAGACACGTTGGAAACACGTCAAGTAGTCATATGGACCCTCTCGCGTGGGACAAAGCAGCCAGCAGCGGCCAGGCGGATGCATGGTACATTCATCAGGCAATACGCTGAAAAACTGCTTGTTAGGGGACTCTCGTACTCGACAGCGTGACTCGGCAGCGAGGGTCTCGAAAATGAGGAACACAGCGAGGAATGCAGCCGACAAGTCGGCTAGATACGCAAGAGCCCTCCTCGCGTTCGGAGACAAGCCCCAAAATCGTATTCTTTTATTTTTATTTGGTATCCGGTGTGCCGGGAAGTGGCCGGAGCGCCGACGGGAGGTCCGAGTTGCTGTATGACGTCAGAGATTACCGCTGAGGTGAGTTCGGACCCCGTCGGCTTGTGGTTTGACTCTTACCATCCCGTGCCTAGAAGCTCCGGACGGCGACAAACCCACTTAACGAGCGAAATTAATTCGTGAAACTACTCACGACGCTATCACCGACGACGACCGCGACGGCCACGAGGGAGACCGCCCGACTACCCGCTCGCTGCGCTCGACGACGACTCACCCCTCCTCGGCTACTTTGTTCAAGCCTTCGCAACGGAGCGCCCGTTAGGCCGGAAAATCAATCTCTGGAGGAATCGGTCGATAGCCATCTCTGACGAAGACACTCGCGTGCTCTTTACACTGGCGGGTCACGAGCAAAACTTAGAAAATACAATTCTACACGATTGCTTTCTGTCTCTACCCGGCCCAGCTCTGCTCCAAATAATCAGGTGGCAGCAGCGGCGATGGCCCTGCCCACCAACTCCTTCGTATGTCTGTTTTTCCTGAATCTCACCTGAATCGCTGAAGCTGCGAGCAGGACCCAAACTTCCGCATCTCGCCTCATTCAACATCCCCTCTCTCGACCTCGGTCACCCCCAATAACGCGCCCATGCACCCACCCAAGCCAACAGCTGATGAGATCGATGCAGTCATACAGGCTGCCACGTCTGCATCCCCGCATGCCGCCTACTCTGCCGTGCGTCCCCCACGAGACACGCGCACTCAGCTCTTCGTCGGCAATCTACCGTATCGCGTGCGCTGGCAAGACCTAAAGGATCTCTTCCGACGCGCGGGTACGGTCTTACGAGCGGATGTCTCTCTAGCGCCTGACAACAGGAGCAGAGGATACGGCACGGTGCTGCTTGCGTCTGCAGAAGATGCCGGGAGGGCGATAGATATGTTCAATGGGTTTGTGTGGCAGACACGGACGTTGGAGGTCAGGCATGACAAGATGGGCGTCACGGCGATGGGCGAGGAATTTCACAACTCGGTGGTGGGGGCCAGCACAGGGACGGGACTGGGCGTCGGGATGGGATTCGGTGGGGGGACGACGTCTGGAGCAGGTACACCGTTCCCCCAGCTGCAAACGAATCTGCCAGGCCCACTATCACGTCCACCCACAACGACCGTCTCGTCGCCTACCCTCTTTTCGACGCCCGCGGAAGAGCTCACAAGCTTGAACACGAACTTGCCAAACCACATTGGTCTTGGAGGAAAGCTGGCTTCGCCATCGACGAATTCTCCCCGGGGTGCTACATCGCCGTTATCCGTACACTCGCCGCTACTCTCTCAGCTCACCGGAAGCCATGCCAGCACGTCATTGCTGACGACGCAGCACCCTGGGACTCCCGTAGGACTGGGTGGAGAGCGTAGTAGGAACCTTTTCGTTGGCAACGTGCGTATCACCGATCACAGCCTCGCTCGGCCCTCTGGCACTGACTATATGCGCCTTAGCTGCCGTTCCACATACAGTGGCAAGACTTGAAAGACCTATTCCGGCAAGCTGGCACGATCTTACGCGCAGATGTCGCACTCGGTCTGCTGGGCTTCCTTCTATATGGGCGCTTCTCCGACTGACTCCGCCGACATGTGTAGGGCCTGATGGACGTTCGAGGGGATTCGGGACAGTGAGTTTTGCGACCGAAGGAGATGCAGAAAGAGCGGTCAAAATGTTCAATGGGTGAGTGTTGCGCCCTGACCTCCCATCCTTCGACCTGCCCGCCTAGGTCCTCCTGGCCCCAGTGGGACGAATCCGTCGGATAGCCCTCTCCCACCACAGCTTCGGGATATGGTCAGTCACACATGCCACTCGGTGGGTTTAGCGCTCATCTAACCAGAGTCATCTGTGACTGACCATATACGCCCGAAGTATCCCTGTTCGTCGGATTGACAACCATCTCGCTATTCTTGCACCGCTGGTTTTGCTGACGATATCTCCAGGTTTGAATTCAATGGACGCCAGCTGAAGGTGCATTTCGACAAGTTTGCAGCACCGTCGGTTACCGCGTTACCAATAGTTCATTCCTTGTCCGCTCCCCAGTCTCCTCACCTGCATGGCGGACTTCCTTCCATTCACCAGCCATCGCCGCTTGGGCAATTCAACTTGGCCCAGCAGGTGCTACTTCAGCAATACAGCCAGTCAAGACATCAACACGACCGACCTCTGTCGGGGAATGCGCAGGACTCGTCGCTCAGTCCGGCACATCTCAGTCTACATAGGTCTCTCATAGATTCACAAACCTTCCGTTTTCTTCATTCACAAGATGAACCAAACGCAGCGCAGCCTGCGTTCACTGCCCATGACACCAGGCTCGAACCTACAGGAGCGTTCAGCCGTTCGAAGTCTGATCCTATGCATCAGCTGCTGCAGACGCAGCAGCACTCGCAGTCAACTCTGCGCCCGCCATCCCCTTCACAGATTACCCCGGACTATTCCCACCAATCTCAGGAAGAGCAGACTCTTCACATATCCTTACCGCCATACCGTCCGCCCTATACATTCGACTTTTCGCCCGGGACTCCGTACGACCCTTACAACCTGAGCACGAATCAAGGCGGAGATATGGAACAGTTCCAACCAAACTTCAACATAAGGGCAGCACCGTCCGGGAACAACTTGGGGGCGCACGTCGGACCGTTCCAGTTCCCAACACCCGCGGACGACGCAAGACCGCGCCAGTCGACCTCGCCCTCTCCAGTTCTTATCTCTGAGCGACAAGAGCAGACGCACACCCACTCACAATCGGACTCCTCCACCTCTGCGGGCCTGTCGGCGCAGTCGAACGTGTCTGAGCTTCAAACGCAGGCTACATCTCCTGTAATGACCTCCCCGACATCGACTCATTCTAATGCCCTACAAGCGCACCCTGCTCATCCAGGACCCATCTCCCTTCCCCCACCGCCCCCTGCTAGCGCCTTCCCGGTGTCACCACATACCCTCTCTCCATACCATCCACCTGTGTCGCCGTATGGACCACCAATACATCATCCTGGTATGATGATGGGCATGATGGGCATCCCGACGCCGCACGGACTGCCACCTATCACCCCTAGCATGCCTCCCTTCACTTTCCTTCCACAGCCGTCGCCTGGTCCGACTGTGACCGACTCCGCCCAGAAGGCATCTACCACGACCGGTGCTACTGAGTCACACTCTCAGACTCCTGGTAGCTATGTCGTACATCTACACCACGCGCATGGTACCATACTCTCGCCATATACACCTTTCTCTCCTGGTGTCGCGATGTCCCCCGGTGCCTTCTGGGGGGGCCCGGGGTCCAGCGCGAACCCGTACATAAACCCGACTGTCGGCGCGCCCGTGCATTCGGGCTACTTCCCGCCTGTACCTCCACGCGGACAGCCGACAGAGGAGTACTTCCCGCCCTTCCTGCCGCCATCGTCATCGACGGCGACATCACGGCCAAGCGGGCTTGCGAATGAGATCCAGATCGACCAGGCGAGCGCTGGTGGTGGCAGCATCGACGACCGCGAGGCCTTGAGCGCCGTATCAACGGGGGTCTCGCCGAACAGCGACATCACTAGCGGGGGTACCTCGACGACCGCGACCACGACAGGCACCGAGATCAGCCCTCGGCCGCCGACGCCGAGCTCGCGCGGCACATCGTGGCAGGATTCGAAAGGGCCCTCGCCTATGTGCGACCCCGCCAAGGAGACGATCAAGCCTCGCTCGCAGTCTGCTGGCGCACAAGATGAGCACCCGTCTTCGCCCGGTGCGGCGCCTTTTGTCCGCGCAGAGTCGGATCCCCCTGCAGGGCGGGCCGCCGGCGGGCACGATGTCGCCGAATGCGCATATAGTGCAAGCAGGGGGCGAGACGGCTCCTCTGGCATTGTGACGTGAAACAACTAAAAAGTAGGGAAGTACTCATCGATCGTTGACACCTTTCTTTTTCTTGGGATACATGCACGCCAACGAGAGGCACAGGCGGCGGCAGTAATTGCAAGTCATGACAATCTACGTATATTTGTTTTCTTTTCTTTTGATGTACATCGCGCATCAGGCTGCAGGCGACAACAGCAGGGCTCTTGTTTGTTCCATACATATATATATATATTGCAGCAGAGACGTGTTGCGATAATCATACAGGTATATTATCAGCATCCTTCGTTCTGGTGTAGACCGCGCCATATCATTCTTCGACGAGGAAGGAGTGCGTCTCAGGCGTGATGTCGTTGTAGAGCTCGTCTCCCGTGTTTTTCCGCCTCACAAGCAAGAGGTAGCGCTGTGCGTACTTGTCGTCGTCGAAGACATCCTTGATCTCGGGCGTCGACTGGAGTGAGGTTCTATGGGTACTGCGGATGTACTGGCGCTGAGTGTATTGTCTTAGCGTTATACAAGTAATTGTTCTTCGCACCTTGCCACTTGATACAGTGCGTCGTGCTCTTCTGGCTCGGACATTATCGGAAGCCCTACGGCGAGAGGATTGCGTGAGACCCATTTGGTATCCTCCGCGTCGTCGTCGTCGCAGGCAAGATCGAGTGGTGCGCCGAGGTTTCCTATGGCGTGGGACGCGAATTGGAGGAAGGATGAGGCAAGCGGGCTGCTTGTGTTCTCGTCGCTGCCTGTGAGATAGACCTCTCGCAAGTGCAGGATGAAGTGACAGACGGTGATGCTGCGGAAGCTGTGGTTGCGTATGAGGTGTCCGCCCATATATAGGATCATCAATTCTGCTGCGCTTACACTTGGAGGAAGAGGCTTGAGTAGTCGATAAGAAGTGTTGACTGGCGAGTACGTCAGGCGAGAATAATATAGATAATGTAAGAGAAGGCTGCGTACTTGCATAGACGCCATCGTCAAGTCGAAGACGCTGAGGGCAAGGAATACGCTGTATGCCAGGTCAACCTACCATTTTGAATCAAAGTCATGGAGACATTACGTAAAATGGAGAGTTCCTACAAGCATGTAAGCACCGCACAGGTCCAGAAAACCGGTAAAATTACCGTCTCTGAGGAGAAGCGTTGAGATAGACGCATTTATCCCAAAGCTCCGAACTTCGCGACGAATGTGATAGGTCTTCGTCCAAGTGAGCAAGAGCACAATGATATCTGTGGCGAGGGTCATAGCACGTCGAAGAATGAACGCTGTTATTAGAGGTCTATAGCATCAGTAGGCGATCAAGAGCACCAGCTGAGATCTCTTGCCTCTGTTCATCCTTACTCAGAGTTCTAAATTTGGAAACATGAAAAGACGTACGTACATCATGTACGAACTATTGTACATAAGATAGCATCCCGGGAAGTATTCGATGGCAAGATAAGCGTCCGGGATCCGGTATGGGGACCATAGCTGCGATACTTGGTGTCACCGTTTAAGGGTTTAGAATAGTGTAGCGCACCACATCGAGGATAAGCGGTGGTATGTGCAGATTGAACACAAAGACAGCGAGCTTGAGGCTACGGTCCCGAATCGCAAACAATCGCAAAGCGGAGAATGCTGGAACTTGTTAAGCATACCTTTGCAAGTGTATGTTAGCGTTATTGACGTACCAGCTTGTGAAATGTATACGAGCATAAAAACTACCAATCCCACGATACCTTGCACCCTACAACTGTGTAGGCGAACTTGAATCAGGCTACCGTCATAATCAAACAAAGCATATGCGCCTTTACCCCTGCAAAGTCATGTTAGGACGTCAAAAGAAGACGAACATCAAACTCATACATTATCGTTCATCGTGAAGACGGCTTGGAGAAGGTTCAGCACGACAACTGAGATGTAAATATAACGATTTGCGACATAAATAGCAGTAGTAGCTGCGGGTTTTCGAGACCAGACATATCGAGACTCCCTTCCGATTGTCAGGAAAGTGTCGTATATGGCCCATGCTGACATATCATGTCAGTCGAAAATGCCTTCGAAATTCAAAATTGACAGCACTCACTGAGCGCGGAGCAAGCAACGATGTTGGCTGATATGCTGAGAATCAAATTCTATTATAGCGCGGGTCCTGAAGCAATATTCAGAGCACTCACTTTCGCTCTACGAGCTCGATTAGATCTATATGATCGCCGGGAGAAAGCGTTTGCCAAACATCGGAGCCGAAGAGCTTCTCCCAGTTAATCATCCTGCGTCGCGGACGTAGTAAGTCTGCGGTCGGCCTGTATAGGGTGAAGACAGCTCGATTCCACCGCAGTACTTGGTCGTGCTGCCTTTTATATCTCAAAGCATTGAGCGGCCGGGTAGATCGCCTTCAATTGCTACTGCACCGCCCCATCAAACGAGACCAATCTCCACGCGTCAGTCGGACAGCCAGCGCGTTCGGGCGCTCAGGAACGTCGTTCGTGGTCTGCTTAATTGAGGAGCGCTACCTTGCTATTTGCGAAGCTACCGCGGTCGATTGCTGTGCAATGACCTTGAAACCGAAGTTTTGCACCAGCAGAGCTTACAGCCCGAAAGCCCGAAAGTCTTAGCAGATAACAGTGGCATCCAACGCAGATCTTGGCGCAGAAGTTGACTCAACCGCCGGATTAGGAACGGAGAGAAACCGCGCTCTACAGGCTACGCGTCAATAAGGTTTCAACATTTGTGACCAAAGCAGAGTACTAGTACTCAGGGATTTGCCCCGGCTGGCATTTCAGCTTGGCGATCTGAACACGGGAGGCAAGTACTCGCGCAATACCATCCCTGACTGCCTCCACAGCCTTACGGGAGAACAGGCGACATTCTTTCCTCATGCCGCTCTCCGCAATTCCGTAATCACGACGTAAAAAACAAACGTACTCTCGGCGAGGGCGTGTGGGCGCATCCCCCGACTCGGCATCACCGGGAAACAATCACAGCGGGCGCATATCTTGCATCGACGCTCTTGCACGCATGTACACTTGTCTAAGCGTTAACGAAGTATGATTGTAATTAGTGTACAAAATGCGACGAAATGCGTGCAAGAGGTCCTACAGAGAGAAGTTGCTGAGTATTAGTATGGTACATGCACTTATGAGTCACTGGTAGGCCGGGCTCTTTCTATCGTATGGTCATCGAGAGAGTCGATCGTCTGGTCAGTCGTTCTGTCTGTCATCCAGTTGCGACCGGGAAGGTCATGGCGAGTTCGTCAGATGGAACACTACCTTCGGTTCTCGTTCTCGTTCTCGTTCCCTTGAGCTCGACCTAGATCGCACGGCAAGCGAATGCGGCGACAGCAGTCCATCCTGCGCCGACGAGGGGCTCTCCATGCGGAGTTCGTTTTCAAAGATGTTTGGTGAGGCAGTGCGTGGCGTCGGCGTCGGGTGCGTGCTTGCGCGACTCTGAGCATCATCGAGCATGCGTAGGCCGTCGCGGCCTTCAGGCGGTATTGTCCAAAGGTGCACTCCGCCATCGTGCGTGCCTGTCGCGAACATGAATGGGTCTGCCGAGGGGTTCCAAGCGATGCAGGTCAGGTCGCCCCCGCCGAGCGCCTGTGGACGGATATGATGCAGTAGGGTCGCAGATTCTCGGTCCCAGATGTGAATATCGCCCGCTTACCAAGCGCTCCCGTCGTCAGGAGGTCCATCTCCGCAGTAAGGTGCAGGACTTACCTTTTCCAGCGCACAGTACCAGCTCATCATCCTTGCCTCCGAAGTAGCTAGGACCCGCAAAATCGACGGTAACCTTAGGCATGTACGTATGTCGAAGTGACAGACGAGCAGCATCTTTGATGTAATCGAGTTTCCAGAGCTGTGGGGGTGCCTAGATAACAAATGTTGACGTGAGAAAGCGGCTGAAGAGCCGGCATGCGCACCTTATTCTCATAGCTGACCAACGCTACGTCACCCACGCGAGCCATCGTTATATCGCGGACCTCATGGAGGACAGGGACACGGCTACGAGGCATCGATAAACTAGATAGCTAGCGGACGATCATGTATGAAAACGTACTTCTCGATCTCGTTCTTCTCCAGGTTGTATACTGCCGCGAATGAGTCATTTGCGACCGGAAGAGCGCGTTGCGTGACTCACCGATGATCTGCTTCTCGGCTCGGCTCTTCTTGGGCTGCAAGCCATCAGACGAAGCAGTCAATGTTCCAACGCACAACATTCGCTGAGTGTTCATAGTAACGGCAACGTCATGCAAAATCATGCGCTCCAGATGGTATTGATCCAAAATCTATGGCGTCATATTTAAACCCAGAAGCCAATATGATAACGAGTTCCAATGAACGTACATTGCCATTCGTATCCTAAATGAAAGTCTGTCATCTACAACACGACAAGCAGAGTGCTGATGGGGACATACCAGTTTCGTGACGTACCCACCCTCGACTGATAAGAAGGCGTCTCCGCTTGGCAGCCAAGCGATGGACTGTACATTCTGCCTGCGATCGATCGTCCTCTTGCACACGCCGTCCTGAGATGGTTCGCATCAGCACCAAGTCTGCGAAAGTCTTGCCATCGCCCACGCACCTCAGTCCAGACCTTGATCCCCCGGTTCATCTTCGTGAGTAGCTGTTGTCCATTCGGCGACCACGCGACCTGGCCGACGAAGCCCTGAGGATGCGCCAGAGTTCTGTGCGGCGCAACGACATCCGGTACAGCGATATCCTCTCCAATCTTAAAGATGACCGACGTGCGATCCCAACTCGAAGTTGCGAGGTACCGCCCACTGGGCGAAAACTGGAGGTGGCGCACAAGCGCTTGGTGTGGGCTGAAGTCGAGCCACGCCTCCATCTGCTTCAGGCGGGGTATTAGGCGCGCGACGCGCGACTTCTTGAGCACGCCCGGCGGTTCTGCGGGCTTGCCGTGCTTGCCGTTCTCCTTCGATAGCGTCCGCTTCCGACTCGCCGTCGCCGTCGCCGTCATGTTTGACGCACTGCGCAGCATCATCACTGAACGCACAACGTCTGTGAACCGTCTGCGCGCGGGGCTCGCTGAGGCGGGACTGTTAAGCGGCGTCGCGCCATTGTCGTTTACTACTGTAGGGTCGTCGAGGCCGTCAACAGTGGAGGGTGCGCGTTCCGAGATAGGAGTAAGCACCGTTGCAGTCGCGTCAGATGGACGGTGGGGTCTGGGAGACATAGGCTCTGGGCTCATGGAGTGGCGCGAAATGGGTGACTTGTGTTCGCTGTCGTCTGCGGACTCGAGGTCGTTCGTCCGGCGCCTGAGCCGGTTGATCCAACCCGAGAGCAAGTTCACGAACCCGCTCACGTAGTCAGATGCATCGTGATAGCGCCTGCGACTCCAGAATGCGACCTTCCGCGCTGCATTTTGCGGTTCGGTAAGGACCCAAGCGACGCCGGGAAGCCTATGCATCTGGACTTTGGTCTCAGATAGCACGTCTGCAAGCCACTTCTCGCCCTTATGTCGCGTATAGATGATCCGCTCCGAGGCGAACCAGCACGATACGGCCACAAGGCCAAAACAGCTGCAAGCTGAAAAGACGGTAGTAACTGTCGACGTGACCCGGTGTTGTCCTGACGAATAGGCGAACAGGACGAGACCCATAGAGAAACATGCGACAGACAGTACCAAAAACACGAGGGGTGATCTCTTGATCCAGATGAGGACCCACCACGGAACGCGGTGGCCTGGCGATCGGTACATAGCCTGCTTCCAGGTCAAACCCAAAAGGCTATTGACTGCAGCTCCAATGCTGAATACCAGCGACGTGAACCAGAAGCCATTTACGCTGTTCTGCAAAGGACCGTCGGTCATGTCAAACGAGAACTGCATCGTTGTCGCGGTGACGGCGCTGAAGAATGTCGCTACGGTGGATAAATTGAGCAGGTTTGCCGCAGCATGCTTCTGCGCGAAGCGAATGGTTGGTACACCTAAGAAAGCCGGATATCAGGGTGGTCAGCATAACGTGGAACAAAATGAGGGAACGGACCGATCTCAATGAAAATGTATAATGAGGAGGTAATGCTATCTAGATGCTCGCCCATTTCCGACGTGAGGTCGTGCAGGTAGCGTTGTACCGCGGGATATTTGAATTGACCTTCATAGGCCCTCAGACAAGAAGCCCAGTACTACGTGAAGCGTCAGCTGGATAAAAGAAATCTATGAACATGGATTACGTACCTTTAAATCTCCCTCTAAAGATATAATCGACGAATTTACACCTTCGTCTGTGAACTCTGGAAATTCGTTCAGACAGTCTAGGAAAGTGATGACATCTTCCGCTAGTCCCTGCAGCTGATCCGGAAAATCCTCGGCGTCGATATCGTCAAGAATTGTAGGGCTCGTGGTATGAACGCTCTTCGCCTTTCGACGCGGTCGGATATTAGGGTTCATGACGTTCTCGTGCGGCTGCCTTTGAACCTTCCTCGGAAACAGATCTGCAGCATTCTCGCGGAAGAGAAAGAGGATCTGAGCGAGCCGCTCCCGTAAGTGAAACGAGGACGAGAGAATGCCGACGGAGCTGCCTAGCTGTCGAGCTGCATTGGCGAAGTTTCTGAGCTATTGTAAATACGTTAAGGTTACGTCACGGAGCAGACAGCGGTCATATGACATGCCTCTTTATCGAGACTGATGATGCGTCTGGCGTCAAGAGAGCATTGAGCGGGAAGAAGAGCGGGAGCGAGACCGACGCGCCGTACCTCTCGAATTTGTTGAAAGCTTCAGCACCAACTTTCTGCAGGTGCTCGTCGACGGTAGCTTCATATAGCGCGTTTGCACTATGATCAGAACTAGAGGGAGTAATCGTGGAATGAGGTACATACGGACATCTCTGTCGTCTTCGAAGCTAGGTTGTTGATTGTTCCCTGATGAGTGGTTGCAGCCGATGAGAATGAATAGCTCAACCGGTGGCAAAAAACTACACACCCGTGATAGCAAGGTCACTATCCTTGCTCAACTCGTGCAGCGCGTCCAGCAAGCTCAACAATGTCTGTTTGCGTTTATTCTTAACCCCATCCTTTGCAACTGTTGGTCCTGGGGAAACCGTGGGGAGATTTGAGAAGTCAAATCCTGATGCGACCGGTTCCGCTACACCGGAGGCGTGCATGAGCAAGACAGGTCGGTTTGCCAAGCACGAAAACGTACCGCGAGGCATGTGCCTTATATAACTAATGTGCACGGCTTAATGTAATATCCCACGAGATGAACTAACGACGTAAGTTGGAACAGCGAAAAGTCGTGGTGTTTCTGCTGCTGCTTAGAAGCGTAAGGGAACGTGAGGATTGTCAGATGAGAGGCGTTGTCCACAGCGAAGGGCACGATGGAGAGCGAAAAGATCTGGCGGGGAAATGTCGTGGAAGGAGGCGGACACTTCGGAAAGCGTCTAAATTACGGCGCTCGCAAACACATGCCGGCTAGCCTCGACGAGAGAAAAAACAGCCTCCGGTCTTGGGGAAGGGCATGATGGCTGATGGCGATTGGTCCGCGTGCCGGACAAAGCACGTCGCTTTAGACCCTCGCTATATGGACTACTGATCATATGCTCGACCAAAAAGCAAAGCTGCACGGTTCACAGCCTCGGTCAGAAGCTGCTCGAGAGCATCGAGGATAAGGCGACATCGTTGTCAGAGTAACAACGGCACATCGGTCTGTACATGCTGGTTGGTGAGCAGCTCCAGTCCAATGCCGTAGAAATATGTCCTTGCATGATCTACGTACCTGAAATTACGGCGCGACTGTCGTCCACTGGTCAGAATAAAAAGGAGATTAGCTCGCCGTCTTCTTACACCCTAAGCCTTGCCCGGCGATGGTGGACTCTGTGCACTCCGGATAGTTTGAATCACACAAGAAATATTGTTTATGCACGTCTTTAGCAAGGGTGCTGGTGCGGGATGCTTGATGGATGCTTGTAAGATATGAGTGGTGAGAAGAAGAGCGGTGTGCGGCAAGTGTAGAAGTCTGCTGCGATAAACGTTATGTCGGCATTGCTTATCGTGGGAATTCTGTCCGATCACTATGACCCCTCAAAGCGTACAGCCCCTTTGTTGATTTTTGTTATCCTCAGGATTCCCACACTTACTAAGACCAAAGCCCGTCTTCGGGTTGTATTTACACTCGGACTTCAAACTTAAGCTTGCCGCCACGTCTCCTCCAAGTGTCGCCGCGACGGCGAACACCATGTCGGATTCTACATCCCAGGCTCGTCTGTCCTCAGACAGCGAGCGACATCTATCGCCCTCACCAACAAAAGGACTTAATGGCAACACTCACAATGATGACGAAGACCTCACGCGCCTGGATCCCGTTGACCGGCTACAACACGAGTTGGAACGGGCACGAGAGGAGAAGGAGACATTAGCGGCGCAGTACAGGAACCTCCTGTCCAAGCTTACTGCGATGCGCACGACGCTAGGGAACAAGCTGAAGCAGGACGCCGTACGTTCACACTCTTCCCTGCGCTCGCTCGTGGGCAGTGATTACGACCTCCGTTTCGCATAGGAAGAACTCGACCGGCAGCAGGAGCTCGTGCAGCAGCTGACCGTACAGAACAAGGACCTTGCGCAAACCGTTGAGACCCTCAAAGCTGAGCTCGTCGCCTCCAACGACGAGGCCGAGCGTGCCTCTCGCGAGCTCGAGGCGATGCGGAGCAGGGCGCTGCAGGAGAACGCGCAGGAGGTGTACCTCCGCGAGCGCGAGCTCCGCGAACTCCAGGGCGAACTCGAGCAAATACGAATAGAGCGGAATGAATGGGAGAGCAAAGCATTGCAGGAACACGTTCTGGCGGACGAGGCACGAAGCAACCTCGAGAACGCTAGCCGGGACCTCGAGATTGAACGAGAGGCGAGGGAGCGGGAGGCGTCAACGCTCGAGGTGGAGAAGGAGAAGGTCAGCAACCTGCAGTCCGTCCTCGAGGACTTCCAAGCATGTGCGCTAGTTTTACTCTTGCCTGCCACCTCCTGTCTGTTCATACACCTCAGCAAAGGATCATGAGCTGCAACAGGCGGTTAAGGATTACGAAGCACGGCTGGTGCAGTCTACGCAGTCACTCGCCGAGTTCAAGTCGCGGGCGCTCAATGCTGAACTACAGCTTGAAGAGTCTTCGACAAATTCGACCCGGACGCAGGAGTTGGAGAAGGAGGTCAAAGAGAAGAACCTGCTCATTGGAAAGCTGCGCCATGAGGGTTTGTATTGGTTACCATGGGACTTGTGCTTCGCTTACCATCTTCACAGCCGTCATCATGAACGAGCACCTCATGGAAGCGCTCCGCCGACTGCGCCGCTCCTCAACTGAAACAAACGTAGACCGCCGACTTGTGACGAACGTGCTCCTCTCGTACCTCACTACGCCACGTGGTGATTCGAAGCGCTTCGAGATGCTCACCCTCCTCGCCTCTATCTTGCAGTGGACGGACGACGAGCGTGAGCGTGCGGGACTCCAACGCAAGGGTAGCACGAGTCCTGGTGCGGGTGCATCACTTTGGGGGCGCGCCACGGGCAAGGGCAAGGGTCCCGAGCAGCTCGAAAAGACGGACGAGACCGAGGTACGCTGCCCTATCTTCATCATAGCCGGACTAACTGACCGATGGCGTGCACGACAGTCCTTCTCGCGCCTCTGGGTTGAGTTTCTCCTCACTGAAGCGGCCGCAGGCGAGGGTTCGATACCTGGGTCGCCACGCTCGCCTAGCATGCGAGCGAACGGTTCGCTCCCGCCGACACCGACAAAAAGTGGAGGATCACCAGTATATCTTTCGCCTGGCTCCCTGAAAGGCGGGCGCCGCCTCCCGTCTTTCTCGTCTCTGGCGGGTATGGTGAGCTCGCCGAACCTCTCGCTCGAGCAGCCACCAGGACTGGGACACGGCAAGGGTAAAGAACGCGCCGCCGAATAAATCTTTTAATGTTGGATGTCACGCCGCCACTTGCGCTTCTTACTCACCTTACCTTGTTGGTTTTCTTTTATGCCGTATTATTTCAATTGGGGACACTATTTCTTGCCAAATATGCATCTTACTGCGGACGGTTGATGATGAATGTGTCGACCCATGAGAGGGACTCCTGCAGTATACCCTATCGAAGAGGGCCGATACGTATTTTACATAAATGCAGAGCGCGAGACTCTATTCCGATACACAATGAAAGGAGAGACAATGGAGGGAGATAGATCAGGAAGAGATAGGGCTTCGTGGCGAATGAGATATACTAGAGTAGGTATGATGCGTGCGACGGAGACACAAAGTGAGGTGGGCCGCGACGGAGAAAGCGAGATATGGCGGCGGAGGTGTACCGCAGTGGATGTAAGAGGGACAATATGAAGGCTCGGCGTGGAGACCAATAACAGAACGAATAGCATGATGGACTTGACAAACAAGAACGAAATGGTGTTCAAGCGCGCTGAAGCCAGCCGACGTCTAGGCCGGTCATGGTACGCATGCTCTCAGGGTATGCAGTTGTGCTTTCCTTGAGCGTTGCAGCGAGCCGTTGGCAGATCTGGAAGGGATAGTACAAGTGTTCTGCTTGCGGAAACCCGGGGTACTTTTGCAGCATCCTTCACCCAAGAATCAGTGCGTCACGCAAGCAAAGACTGGGTGGGATAACGTACGAGTGCATCTCAGACGTGGCGACGGACGGGCCGATGAGCTTGTAGAGAACCTTCGCGCCGCGTATCGAGCCGTGTCGCGGGATGACGAACTGCCTCGGCGTCGCGTACGCAATGCGCATCGACGGCTTGAAAAGCCAGACCAAGATGCGAGGCTTATCCTCCTCTTCGTCGACGATGACGAAGCGGTATGTCGCATGCGCGTGCACATACTCGTACATGTCCTCGACGATGAAGGCTGAGAGGGGGATGCGACTCGGCCTATGCTTGCGTCAGAAACTGAGACGGGCGAAATACTATTATTGCACTTACTCGGCAGTCGGGCTTACAGGCCGGATAGCATACTTCGCTAGTCGGTAAACAATGGTGGACTCTCCGTACTTGGGTTTGTGCTCCTGGCTACGTCCCACCACTGCGCCGCAGATGCAACGGACACGAGACCAGTCATCGACCTAAGGCGAAATGGCATCAGCACGTCGCCCAGACACAATAAATGAGTAGGGTCGAATCAAAAGAAACATGTGCCCGCGCATGTAGCTCCCGAGGCATGAACCTTGGCTAACGAGAGTTGTTTAGCAGGGGGAAAAACGTTGCTCTGGGACGCTTTGTATCAGCCAAAGGATCAGTGATCCTGCCGTTGCATTGCGAATCACCTGCATTGTCTTTCGCAGTTCCAAAACCAGCGAGGGTTTCGGGGATGCTCCAGACGACGACAAGTAACTGCTAGCAGACAGCCATGGGTGGCATGCCCCATGAGGGCCTTCTTATCGGTCCGAAACCAGGACAAAATGCAGCTAAAGTTGGAAGCCATACTCACTTTGTTAGCGTCAAGACCCTGCACCCCGCACAGGTTGACTTTCACGACGGCGTTCTCTCTCAAGAGAAGGTAGCTCCCACCGACGAGCGCCTCGTTATCTGCAGGCCAGAAGCCCTCCTTTGAGCCTTTCTGCACGTGCTCGTGCAGCTTCTGATCTGCGTGGCACATCCAAGCGTCAACAAGCTCTGCCCAGTGCTCGGATGGCAAGTCGCGGTATCTGTGCAGCGCAGACCCGCGGACAAGCGGGAGTGAGCACGATGCGCAGATGAATGATGTCGGCTGGATGTGTTGAAAGTGCGTCGCATCGAGTTCCGCGTCGGTGTCAAAGGCCTGTGACTGTGGCGATGCGGGAGGAATCACAGCGAGCTTCACCTGGAAGTGCCGTCCGCCAACGACGTTCACCTGCGCAGGGCCAACCGCGACCGGTGCAGGCAGCGCGAGCCGCTGGGAGGTGCTTGCACCACATCTGAGTAATAGCTGTGCATGGTGACTGTCTGGGCCTGATTCGGGCGAGACGACTTCGGCTTCAAGCTCGACGCCTGCTTGGAGGCCTGAGACGGTGAGGAAGATAAGGATATGCTGTAAGTTCTCGTGATACTCTGCCACATATGTGACGTCGAGAGTTTCTGAGCGGCAGAGAGCTATGAGCATGATGTATGCGACTATACGCAGTCTGACTAACCCTGCATCTCTGGGACCACCTCCACCGCTGAGGACTGCCGCGGTAGTTTCTTCCCAGAGGTCTTCCTTCCAAGGGACTGTGTAGGCGAGGAAGACTTTGGTAGTAGCCAGGACAATGGTTCCGACATACTGCGTGACCTGCTTCCCTTGATAGCCTTGGTCGTGGCAGGAGAAGGTGTTGGACTGGAATTTTCATCGCGAGAGCGGCTGCTACCATTCGTGCATGAGACGGAGAGGCCTCGGGCGTGGCGGATGCTCGAAGAGCCAACCGGCTCCGGGGACGGGTGCTCTTTGATGAACTCCGGTAGCGTGAGCAGAGCTTCTGGGTCGCGTTCGAGTTCCATGCGGCGCCGAATACCTTCTGGGATAGTTTCGCGAATGAACTCGGGGAGGGTCAGCATGGCATGGGGGTCCATAATTTCCGCGGCTAGGTTCGGGTGCGAACGAGCGCGGGTCGTGCTGAAGGCGGCATCTTGCGAGTGGAGACGACCAGCGTCGGAGTGCTTGACAAGATGTTCGACAAATGCAGTCCGCTGGCTCGTTTTCAAGCGTAAGAGAACCATAACGACAGGCTGAAGACAAGCACATACCTGCTCCAGCTCCTTTTCACGGGCTCTCACCAGCCTCCGTCGCATCTCGTCTCCATCGAGATACACTGCCTGGTTGCTCATCTTCCTGTCAGATGCTTTCCCAATGAGCTCGACTATTCGATCAAGCTCGTGCAGATGCGTCTCGTCCTCTCGCTGTTTCCCTTTCCGCTTCGCGTTCTCCATCCGCTCAAGCTTGCTCTTCTTCAGCTCCACGCGCTGGTTGTGAAGCTGTGGCGCGACAAGGTAGAGACGGTCAATAGCCAGAGTTACAGCCTCGAGGTCCATCTTCATCTTCTCCGATGTGTTGTCTGATAATCTGGTTGACGTGCGCTCCAGACCACCGCCTTTCTTGCCGTCCAAGTCGATATCGGAGAACTCATTAGCCTCGTAGCTCGGGAGGCTGTCTTGCTCATAGTCCGCAGCGTCGTACTCCGGTGGAAGGTTATCCGCAAATGGATCAGCGTCGTGGTGCTGCGAACGACAGAGAGACAGGACTGATTCCAGTTCGTCATCTATCAGAGACCACAACAAGGAAGACTCGACAGATAGTGTTGGCGTCAGTTCACTAGTAGATGGCAAACGATTCTGGGAGGACCGTTCCAGCTGAAAGTCGCTGACCTGGCGGCGCAGGGTGCTGTACGGATCAGTGTGGCTGCGCGAATCAGTTCCGACATTCCACGATGCAACCCGGGTTTGGGAGGACGATGTCGAGGAGCTGAAAGGACTGAGCAATGAAAGTCGATGGAAGTGAGTAAGCAAGGATACCAGCGTCCGAGCGAGCTCAGCATCGCGCGCTGACAGGCTCGTCACCACCAGGTCGACTTGTGTGCGGAGCTCGTGTAAAAGTTCGGTATCTGAGAGTGATTCAGCAGTCTGCGTCATATTTCCATTGGTATCCTGGAGACGTAGGTTCGTTATCAAGGTCTGAAGAGCCGATGAGCGCTGTGCTGTGCTTGGGGCGTTTGAGCTGTTAGGCGCAAGGTGAGACGGATGGGGCATAGAATGTCGACGGTCTGGGACAATCGGAGACCAGTGTGCTTTCGCAGAAAGCAAGTCGTTCAGCGTCGCCAAGCAGATGCTCTGAACTTGTCCTATTGAGGGTAGCAGATCTTCCTGCACGAGATAAATCAACCCGGCTGGAGGCATACGGTAGGCATACTTACCGCAGGCCTCTGCGCTTCGTCCAGCCCGTCTCCTTCTGGTAGGCTATTCTTTTCATGGTGTTGCGCGGATGCGAGTGGTGGTTGTGGCGGTTGTAGATGGAGCTCTTCGTCGAGGAGTAATTCCTCGTCCGCAAGCGAGTCTAAAAGTTCATCTTCTTCGCGAACCAGAGCGTTGGCAGGGAACGGACTCGGGACACCGAGCCTCAAGTCGCGTGGAGTATCCGAAACGCTGTCATAAGCTGTCCTCGTGCGTGTCAGGGTCGCCATACAAGTTGGAAGTAAAGGAGAGATGGTGAAGGTGCTCGCTGCCCCGTCAGGTCGAATGTGTCTGCTGGATCAGGCGAGGTTCCGGGCCAGATTTCTATTTTCGCATAAATACTCCAGAAGTAGGGTACTTATAGGTAAATATGCTGTCTCCTAAGTATGTTTACCATACTTAGAAGCAGTGACCGGTCAGTGACTGACAGGTCTTCCGGGTTCCACATCAGCAGCCTATCATGTCGCAGGACGCCATCAGGCTCGCCGCCCATTGGGGTTTGCCTCCCAAGCGCTCAACACTGATCTCGCTTGCGTGGGATCACGAAACCGCCCAGTCATTGACTGCAACTCGGTCATTGACTAGTGCCCAACGCCGGACTATGGCTACCCACGAGAAGGCCTTGTTCCTCAATCTCTACAATCAATTACTTATGTAGTTCCGGCTAGGCAGACAGCGCACCGGCTTATGCCATCAGCTAATGGGAAGGATCACTTGTGAAATGGGCCTGGCGTTCATCTCTGCTGTCACGGTAACGATCCCCATTATCTGTTGAATAAGCATTGCCTCCAGATCATCAACATCATCTCAGAGTCCCACGCACAACCATGCTGACCTGAGATCCTTTATAGTGAGGTAGATAGGGAGCCTCGCGCTGAATTTTCTGCCCCCTTGGAGATGTTCAGCTCGACTCTGCAACCCAATGCCGCTATTCTTGAGCTTCTTAATGGACCAGCCCTACCCGTGTGCGTCTAAGTTCTCGTGTTCAAGTTCACGCATCACTAAAGCTTCAAACCAACGCAGATTTACTGGAGGACTGGTGCATGTATCAGCTTTAAGTGAGTATCCCATCTGACCGGTATTTACGGCACTCATGTAATTATTCACTCAAAGCGGCAGTCGTTTACGACGCATTGATTTGTCTCGCCAGGGAGCGAGAAGTTATTTGGGAAAGGAAGAGCGATGCAGGCAGCTGGGTTTATTTGTTGAATCGATACCCAACCATCGCAACATGCTTATACTATGTCGCCCTCGACATCTTCTATTTCACGCGTCAGGCGAGTGTAAGAGTGAGTCCAGGTCTGGTCGTGCGTGGCTGACGTGTTCGATACAGACGTAGGACATCTCCCTTCGCTGGAGAGCTTGGATTGATCCGCCCTTCTTGCTAGCTGTATCATAACGGCGTCCATCTCGTACATCCTCGTGTTCCTACAGACAGTTTCTCGCGCAGGTGCCTTTTCCCACCCTTTTTCGATTGTCGTGGCTTGCTAACTTGGTCTCGCAGTGTTCACAAGCTTGCGCGTGTACGCGATATGTAATCGGAATCTCAGGGTCGCAGCACTCGTACTTGTAGCAAGTGTTGTGGTCGTGGTAGTCGAAGTGGTTCGTAATACTCCTTCTCTAAATCTGCCTCGTATCTCTCATTCATTCCGGATACCCATAGTCGCTAGTCGTAATCTCGATGACTGATGGGGTGCACATCATGGACTGTACAGAGAGATTACCCGCAGTCTTTTACAAGTAAGTAATTGCAACATTGTTTGATTATTTATCCTGATCATCTGTCCACAAAGACGTATGTCTCGTCGCCGCTCTATTGGACACCGCTGACCAGCTGCTTACTCCTCACCAGTCTCTCCGGTTTCGATGGCTATCGATCTCGCAGTCAACCTTATTGTGTTAACGGTCACTTGGGTGAAGACTTGGACTATTCGCCGGCAAGCCAGGCAGTTGCATATGGACGTTCCCATATCATCGCTTTTACTGCGAGATGGTAAGATGGACTTGCGCTAAGTGCGACGAATCTGACGTATACTTTAGGTACAGCTCATTTCTTGTATGTCTTCAGCTTGCTACTCGTACCTCTCTGAGTCAGCAAGCTCAGCCTTTTTCTGCTGTTGGAAGTTGGCGAAATAGTATTTACCAGGAAGCATGTGAGCGCAACCTTCTCTGAACCAAGCTCTGAGGTCGACTTGTTTCTCTGGCACATAGGCAACACAGGGCATGGGCTATTTGACCATCTACACATACGTGTCAGTCTGGATCATCCCGCTATTTTTTCAACATTCTAAGCCGCGGCCTCCAGCTTCGCCAACTTGACCGTCTGTCACTTCATTCTGCATCTTCGAATGGTGTATCTCAACCGAACGAGTATCGCGTCGAACCGATCATTCCGCTTCTCCCTCCTACACCTCACGGACAGCCTCGTCGGGAATCTCGGCGCGCCGCTGCAACTAGACACGATGTCTGGTGAAGAGCCCGTACAGGGGGCGTCCTCCTATCAATCGTCATATGACCCGCTGGCTTCAGGCCTGCTGCTAGATCCCGAAGAGGGGCCGCTCTTGAGGTCAGTACTCTTTACCTGTGCAACATGCACCCAGCTTAAGAGATCTGTAGCACATCAACGTTATCTCGGGATTCTTTCCTCGAGACGCCGATCTCGTCGAGCTTCTATACGTCGCCCGTCCAAGTATCGCCTCTCGAAGTGAACGATCTGTTTGACGACACTGAGTACGGCGTATCCATTCTATCTGTGATGCATCGTGGGGATACTGAAATGAAAGAGAGGGAGAAAGGCAGTGTGGGCAGTGGTGTGGACGACTCGGAGATCTGTGATCTTCTTGAGAGGGATAGGGAGAGATTCACAACATCCTTTGTGGAAGCATAGCAGGCATGAGAAGCAAGTGAGCTGGTTTCACGATAGTCCTATTTTGAGTCTGCCAGCTAGTATACGCGGTACCTAAGTTATAAAGGATGATGATAGACGTGCGCACGCATGGTCGGCCTCCTAGAGCGCTAGTCACCCCGCTCATCTTTCCCGCACCTTCAGGTCTTTCGCCACGTGCGTTTTCTAGCCACATTTTCTAGCCAGCTTGCAAGATAGCATCCAGACATTAAGCTTTTGCATGGCACGCTTAGCGAAGAGTTTGCTCGCGATCACTGTCGACACTTGCGGGCCGCGGACGCGTGTATGAGCCTGAGTGCGTGCACCAATATATTCGCCACATACTAGTATATCCACGAATTAGACGCAGAATAGTGTGAAGCGTACTGTACGTTGTTGGCCCTTAAGTTAGGCGCGTATTTATGCGTATCGTGACAGTAGACAGCCTTGATTATTGCCCTGTTGACACATCGCACAGTCGTGCACCGCTGCCTCCGTATATCCGACGAAGTCGTGCAGGCCATTTCGTACAAAGTATGGCGGAAGAGTAATCTGCTGTATATGGGCCTGACCTGTTGCACATTCTGGCACGAACCCACGATGAACGCACTCTGGACACGGTTTCTTTCGCCTGGGTCTTTGACCAAACTTTTGCCTGAGCATACGCGTGCCAGTGGCGTTGAACCCCACTTCGTACTCGTGGATTACAGCCTTTTCTACGCGTACAAGCTTCATTCAGAACACTTTTTTCCCTTGTGTTTGGTGTGACGGTTGACCAGCGCATCTAGGCAGGCGGAGGTGTACGTGATCTCGGAGAGTAACTCTGCTATCCGGCTCCTCAGGTCTACCAAACGTGCGTTTGTTGAAGCGATGACGAGGGAGTTGGCACTGCGCGATAGAGCACAGCCTTTTGATTTGTACGCGGTATGATACCTATGAAGACTCCGGCATGCAGCCGGCCACGGCCTCAGCTTTCGACATTCTCGGTAGCCAGCTGTATGTCGTAGGATTCGGTAGAGAACTTATTCCTTGCACCGAAGTTCCAAATATTCAATTTATTGGTCATCATCGAAGCAGCGCCTTAACCAGGACCCCACTCTGTGGCGTCCCCAGGAATGCACCCGCGGTAGCAGACGCGCGCATCGTTCTTACGGCTTGGACTGCGACGTCAACGTCCAATATTGCGAGTCTCCATGCTCCATTTCGCACGGAATTGAGAGGAACCTCCGCAAACAAAGAAATAGAAAGAAAGCCATACCACGTTACTACCTTGGGGGGGGTGGCTTTTAGCTCGTGCCGCTGATTCTGAGTCTTACGAATATACTTAGACAAATTTTGACGTGTCCAACGCTATCCCACAAATGGTGCCGGTGAGATCCCGTAGCCCATTGGCATCGCATAGGAAGCCGCAGATGGAACTACTTTGCATTTTGCAACATCATCCCGGTACGCTGAGAGACTCCATTCTGCTTTAGCTCGGTCCACCAGCCTTCGCCATCTTTTTATCGTGTCCTCTTTTGCGGTTATGGTTCGCGCGGCCCGCCTTGTTCTTATCCTTCCACGCACGGTCCCGCGCAGCGTCCCCGGCACCACCACTAGACCCATCGTGCGCGGGTCCACCACCTCTTCCGCGCCCGCGTCCACCACGCCCGCCACCACGTCCACGATGCCCGCCTCTGCCTCGCGCGTCTGAGGGCCCGGGCGTCCGCAAGGGCGCGATCGAACCGCGCTGATTCCCCACGAACTCGTGCTTCTGGAGGATCTTATCTTTGTTCGGCTGGTGGTGATGTGAGCCTGGTATGCCATTAGATCAGAGAACGATAAACGTACGTTTCTCTCGAGCATGATCTTCCAGCCCTCGATCTGCTCATCGCCCCAACCTGGAGGGTGTCCTATGAGTGCGAAAGATCGGAAATGGCACAGGTAAACGCACCAGTCTGCTCCTTGAGCTCCTGCCGCGCTTTGCTCCGCCGCGTCTGCGCGTCTCGGTCAAAGAGCTTTGGATCACGGATGTACGCGAGCTCAAGGACCGTTTCGGGCTTCGCTGGCGTGCCTAGCTGTGTACGAACACGAGTCAGGGTAAATACGAACTCAGAAGACGGAGCCTTACGTCATTGTCGTCGCCATCCGTTTCGCTACTCTCGTCGTCGCTGGGCTCACCATCCCGGACCTTGATGCCGCCGAGGTCGTCCAGATCATCAAGTTCCTCGAGGACCGCGATGTCGATTCCCTTGCCTTTCCCACTTGGTACTGTGTTGTCTTCTTCCTCCCCAGAACCAGCCATCTCTTCGGCGCGGCGCAGAATGTCGGCTTTCATCTGTTCAAGGAACGCGCGGTCCTGGAGGACGGCGGACGTGTTCTCCTGTTTCTTGCCGATCCGAAGTTTAGAAACGTCGAGCTTCTCGTTGTCAAACACGTTCATTCTCTGCTTCGTGTACTCGAAGTGCTCTTGCTGCCGTACCAGCTGCCCCTGCTCCTGCGTAAGAACGCCCCCAGTATACTGAGCATCGTTCACGACAGGCGCCGTTCCCTCGAGCAGCGCACCGATGAGCCGCTCCGCGTCGCCACGGTATGGGAAGTCCGGGTGCTGCAGCACGTAGCGAATGTAGGCTGGATCTTGTTCGGGAAGAATATCGAGCACCTGTGCGACCGCCGCGGCGAGTGCAGGGTGATTGTCTGGCTGGTCGGTCGCAGCGGCGCGGGCCTTGCCTTTATCTTTCGCGGGACCTGCGCCGCGTGTGTCAATGCCGGGCATCGCGCCAGATGACCGCAGAAGCAGACGCAGTGCCCCGGGCCCATCTTCGCGTGTATTGAGGTCTGCAAGAGCGCGTTCAAGGCGCTGCGTATGCGGGTCGTTCGCGGTCCGAGTTGCGCCTTTGAGCACTGCGCGGAGGTCGTACGCGGCTTGACAGTCCTCGATGAGCGAGCGGTTCAGGAACGGTATGGGTTCTTCTGTGGGGCCACGGCTTGGGACTAGGGCGACCAGCGCGTCGAGCACCTCGAACGCAGGTGTGCACGCCTCAGCGAGTGCAGGCCCTGAACCCGGCGCAGCAGCAACGTCGCCGAGGAGTGTGCGCAGAAGGACGTGGGCGGTATCTACGAGTGCGACCTTGCTTTCGAGGAAGATGCGTTCCCAGTCGTCCAGCGGCGTCTCGGGCGCCTGAAGCCGTGCGGCGCTGAGGCCGCCGTAGGAGCGTGCGAGACCGGCCAGACCGTCGTCGTACGCCTGCACAAGTGCAAGCATAAATTGTCTGCTGCGAGCGAAGGGGCGTGCGACTTCGGCTGGCGCGGGTTTGAGTAGGGAGCAGAGGATGTGTGCAATCTTGCGCAGGCCGTACAGGCCCTGTGATGGCAAGCCCAAGAGGGTCGTAAACGCTGGAATAGCGTCGGTCTCTAGAAGGCGAAGGAAACTGGGCGATGCCATGGCGATGGAAGCGAGCAATGTATGGACGCGTTTGGTATGCCCCCGCGCGTAGACAACGCACAGATCGACAACAGTCTGGAGGTCGAGCTCTGCAGAGAGCTTCTCAGAAAGTAACAGCACGCGCTGATGTATGCCCTTCTCGGTCTGGGACATGCCTGCTAATGAGCTCTTGCTGGCGTGTTCCGGGTCCCAGATGAGAGACTCCAGTGTAACTTGGGCGTGGTCTTTGGTGTAGGACGAGATAAATGCAAGGATGCTACGCACATCACGCTTCTCATAAGGTAGTGTCAGAGCTTGCGCTAGAGCTCCGGAGATTTTGCTAGTCAGGGTCGCCTGCTGCGACGGCGATAACGAAGAGCGCGTCTTAGAGCAAGGGTAAAGTGGTAGCGTTAGCAGAGCCATTTCTAGCCCCAGGCCACTACGTGTCTGATATTAATCCCGATAAATGATTGCAACTAGCAGCAGAATAGTGTAAGACGTACCAGTTTGGGAGGTTTTGTAAGCTTCGGGTAAAAGGACACTATATGACCCCGCAGTTATGGGCTTGGCACTGAGCAACGTGCAATACTGTACGGAGAGATATCTCTTTAGTACTTGAATAGGACCATCAAAGTTAGTTCGAGTATATACAGCCAGCTATCACGAGAGATATGAAGGAGCGAACTCACTTGTGCGTGATCGCCAAGAGCAAGCGTCGGTGCCGGCGTATTTGGCGCTTCGAGTTGATTAGGTGATGCTATTAACCCTAACCTCAGCAGTCCAGTATAGCACGGCCGGCAAGCAAAATTGCGGACATGCGAGGCGTCGAAAACAATTTATGTACAACAGAATGTAGCGGGGAGGATATTAGCTGTTAGCCGCCTCATACCAAAGCATGTAACGGAGCTGAAGTTCGCAACGAAGCGCCACCTCTTCCTGATACAGCAAAAGGCGCATCAGCCGATGCTCGCGCCGGCCCGGAAGCGCGCGAACATCTCAACGGATGCACTTTCACGACGTTCGCATGCTCACACACTAGTCTAAGCAATCTTGCACTGTGCGTAGACGTAGGTAGGCGTGTCTAGTGCCAAGCACCTGTAGCCTTAGCGTACCACGTGCGGCCCGCACTGTCTCGCCTCTAGCTCGTGGGCTGCCGCCTGGTAGATGCAGATAGATGACGCATCCACGGGTCCTCGTCGGTCGTCTTTGGTCATCGGAGGCACTCTAAAGCAGTGTGCTTTCAATGTGGCCAACCATGACACCAAACTTTCCCCGTGTACTTTGGAGGGAAAGCATGGAACACCGCGAGATGATGGACTCGACGTCCAAGGTTAGTTAAGCAGTTTGTGGACCGGTACTGAGAAGTTGGCAAGGCGCCCTTCAACTCACACGGCAGTGTATGGTACGGAGACAGATGGATAAGCTGCAACGCTGGACACGATGCGAGCGAAGGCTAAGATATAGCTAGTTGTACATGAGTTACTGATACAGCCAAAAGAAACCGAATCCAAGGCAGCGCAGAAAGACGTGCAAGGGGTCTGGTATAACTTAAACTTCGGCCGTCTCGCCCTTCTTGCCCTTTTGCGTCTTACTTGGAAGGAGCTGTCGGGCAATAATAAGTAAGCAGGACGAAATTAGAAGGAAAAGGACGCACCGCAGGGTCAATGTGTGGCACGACACCACCTTGTGAGATGACAACGTCGCCGAGGAGCTTGTTCAGCCTGAAGTAGGGGTTAGTACATGGTTCTGCATATTAGTAGTGCCGCACGTACTCCTCGTCGTTGCGGATAGCGAGCTGTAGATGACGAGGGACGATACGCTGCTTCTTGTTATCGCGCGCAGCGTTGCCAGCAAGCTCAAGAATCTCAGCAGCGAGGTACTCAAGGACCGCGGCTAGATAGACTGCGAATTCGGTGAGTTTTTGAAGCAGATGCACCGACATAAGAACGCACCAGGAGCACCAGCGCCGACACGCTGGGCGTAATTGCCGCGCTTCAAGAGACGGTGGACACGACCGACCGGGAACTGGAGACCAGCTTTCGCAGAGCGAGACTGGGACTTGCCAGAGGCTTCGGTAGCCGCCTTGCCGGACTTGGACTTGCCAGAACCCTTGCCAGACATTTCGAGTTGTTTAGGGGTGGTAAGTGGTACGGTAGTTGAATACGGGAGTTGCGTGAGCTGCGTCAAGAGCGAAGGCAAGATGATCGTTCACGATGAGAGAAGAGGCGTACGCCCTTATATAGGCCTTGGTCACGCCACAGCCTGGGAAAGTGACCGGCGATAAACAAGCTCGTCACGTCGCGCGACGCGTACGTGACGGGTGTCACGTGGGAGAATCAACAAGGCCAACGTCACGCGTCACTACTTAAAGGGCGCCGCGCCGGGCACGTCGATTCGACTATACTTTCTCCCCAACCTCCATCCCCTTTGCCTTAGCCTGCACGTCGTCCTTCACCTACCCACATCCAAAACTTTAGAAATGGCACCTAAACCTGCGTCCACTGCTGGCAAGGCCCCCGCGTCGACCGCCTCAAAGGCTCCGGCTAAGACCACTGAGGGGACTAAGGCTGCAAAGAAGACCTCCAAACCTGCTGCATCTGGCGCAGATGGCGAGAAGAAGAAGAGGCGAAAGAGCCGCAAGGAGACTTATTCCTCCTACATCTATAAGGGTTAGTCTTCCTCTGTAGCAACTCGGGCGGTATTTTGACGCGTGCTTCCGTAGTACTCAAGCAGGTTCACCCTGACACTGGTATCTCCAACAAGGCGATGGCTATCCTTAACTCCTTTGTCAATGACATCTTCGAGCGCATTGCTACCGAAGCATCTAGTATGTCATCATCTAGGGTCGCTCGATCTGTCGGCTGACCGTATCCACAGAGCTCGCGTCCTACTCTAAGAAGTCGACGATTTCCTCGCGCGAGATCCAGACAGCTGTACGTCTTATTCTTCCTGGTGAACTCGCCAAGCATGCCATCTCGGAGGGCACCAAGTCAGTAACTAAGGCAAGTACTTGTGTTATGCACACTCTGTCTCCTGACTAATTATGGACGTAGTTTTCGAGTGCGAGCGCCAAGTAGACGGCTTTCTCTTGTATCATTATTATCTCCTCATCTCTGTATTCCACTACTGTATTGTACTTTCCCTACTCGTTCTTGTTCGGTTTATCAATTTCCCTCTGTTTCCGCCTTCGGAAATTTCACTGCAGCGTAATGTTTGTGGAATTGCGCATAAACTTGGGGCTTTCTGAGCCCTTATTGAACGCCTCGATCTCTATGTCGGGTCCGTTGCCACAAGGCTCGACGCTATGCAGTCTGAACTCCAAAATGAGCGCTGAGAGCTTCTCAGGCTTTCCTTTGACCACACGCAGAATACGTTGCAGAAGTGACACCGTGTTCTGAACCCAGGACATGGGTTGTCCCTGCAGCAATGAATGTGCATGATCAGGAAGTCAGGAAGTGTGTCTCGTAACCATATCCTCCGAACGAGGGGGGCATTATACATTAGCATCGGCTCCCGCGAGATGTACATTTCCCGAACCCCGACATCCATCTCCGTCTACTTGTTGATGCTATAGTAGGTCAAGCCAACACTCACATCATGTCCGAATTACAGGTGTGCCGCGCGACAGCCATGCTTGTGCAACGTTCCTGCTTGACTGCGCAGGGCTGGGAGCGGCAAGGAAGCGCGCCACGAGGTCAAGGCCGGCGACCAGATCACTGCCCCTCTTCAGAGGGGGGCATAACTTAAATACACGAGAGCTCGAATGGACTCAGCGCACACCTGCCCCAGAGTCAGGGACACCCTTCTTTCCTCCCCCTACAGGTGCGTTCCGAGTCTGCGTCCTCCTTGGCTTCTGGACGGGCTTTTGACACCTCGATGCACGGCAGCAGCTCCAACTGTTCCTAGGTATGACCGCTGCGAGCAGCCCTCGAGCCTCAGGCAGGCGGAAGACGGATCTGCATCGGAGTCCGTCGGTCGAGTATGAGAAGGAAACACAAACTATTTCCACAAACCGCAGATCTCGCGGAGGCGCTCACTCCGCCAAACCGCTTTCCTCTGCCTCCACGCACCCCCTGCTGGACTTAGAAGACAAACAAGAGCCGTTGCAGCCAGCTGTCGGGCGCGAGGTCCGTAGTGTATGGCACGTTCAGTCGAATGGCGAGCGCAAGGTTCATGCGGCGCATGAGCGCAACCGGCGCGACAAGCGGAAGGACAGCCGGCGAGCCATAGAAAGTGATGTGGTCGACGAGGAGGAGAGCGTTGAGAAAGGGAAGCTATCGCACGGAGGATTCGTGAATGAGGTGAGCATGCTGGTGCATACTTGCATCGCATACTTGCTCAAATCTGTACAGCAGCCTACACGAGCTCTACTGTCATCATTGTCAGATCCGGTACCGCCTCCAGGCATCGGTAACAATGCATTGCGTGTTGAAGACGATGATTCGGGATTGGAACGCCTCCGCGAAATTCTTGACTCGATCATCGAAGAAGACGAACCTGCCGCACTAAGCAGAAGTGCTCAAGTGCCGTCTTCGTGGATGTTTTCCATTGGTGTTATGGTGGGACTCGGTGTTCGCGCTGTCTTCTCCTTCATTCTCGAGCTGGGCAAGTATGCGACGATTGCCCTCGGTCTACATGTCGCCTGGTCTGTGCTCATCTCGGGTCGCCTCATGTTATCACCACGTCTGTTGTCGCCCCTGTCCATCCATCCCCCAAATAACATCCCTTCAACGGAAAACGCGGAAGTGTCGGCGCGGCTCCTTCGTATGGAGAACGCCTTGGCTAGCCTTTCCGTCGACACTGCCCGCCTTCACGAGCTCGAGGAACAGGTCCATACGGTGGAGGGTGCGGTAGTGGAGCTGTCTAAGCTCTCGAAAGACACACTCGCATGGCCAGATTTCGCACTGCACTCTGGCGGAGCGAATGTCATCCCCACCCTCACCAGCGATACTTTCAAGATGGAGCCGCAGGGTCTTCTCTCCCTCTTGAGCAACCTGTTCGACGACCCTCCTGTATACGGTCATCCTTCCGTCACCGCGCTCACCCACGAGACGCACGTTGGGCACTGTTGGCCATTTCCTGGCACTCAGGGCCAGCTTGGCGTTCTGCTTCCCGTGCCGGTGCACATTACGGATGTCACCGTCGACCACGTCGCGAAGGAGGTCGCCACGGACATGCGCATGGCACCACGGCGCATGGAGCTCTGGGGCCGCATTGACGGCAACGAGAACCTCGCGAAGTACAGAGCCTGGAAGGCTCAGCACGCGGAAGCACACGCATTCACGGAGCGCGCTGGCGAAGAGCACGCCGCGCCCGAGGAGGACTACCCGAAGACGCTCCCCCGCTCGCTGCTGCACGTGAAGATCGCGGAATTCATGTACAATATCTATGCGCCCCAGCATGTTCAGACGTTCGCTGTGCCGCAGGAGGTCCGAGAGCTCGGCGTAGACTTCCGTGCCGTCGTTTTGTTCGTCAAGGACAACTGGGGCCGCGAGGACTTTACTTGTTTGTACCGCTTCCGAGTTCATGGTGAACAACGCGGTGGAATGCCAGAGACGCTGCCCGAAGATTTCGCCTCTTAGTGGGTCGGTTAGAATGTTGAGTCGAATGCTCGACCATCGCCGCGTTTTTATTTCGAAAGGTATAATGAATTGTCTTGGTAACGTGAGCGATAACATTATGTCTATTTGCTACTGTGCATGCGTATTGATAGTCGCGTCTGTAAATGTTGTCTTTGTGCTGCTTTTGCTTGCTGTGCGTTCCGTACTAGTACTATAGCATCTTCGCTCTCCAGCCATAGCTGTCCCTACTAGGGACGTGTGCATTTGATGCAATAATATTTTATCTGGGCAAGCTGCCGTGGGAATAATGAGTGATCTATAGTATGAGGCTTTGTGCTGGCAGCAATGTCCCCCTCTGCGCGAACCCATCAATCCCGACGCGCTAGAGGACATAGACGCCTCATAGAGCTGCATGCAACGTGAGTCAGCTTGACATCTCCAAAATGCTCCGTTTTACACGCATGACCGATCCACAGCTTTCGTGCTCAGAGATTTAGCTGCCTCCCTCACTTCTCCCAGCGTTCGGACCCACCTGTTCATGACTCACGAGCACGAACAAGGCAGTGGAGCATACGATCCCTCGGCGTCGTCACCGTAAAGTGGCATCGGAATGTCATGTCTTCCAGCCTAATGTACAAGTGATCAGTCAATATTCGATATCATCTTCAATGAAGCCTCACGTCGTGTTGTAGAGCCGCATGTCGACTAGGCGGAACATGTACCCGAGAATGTGATACATCTCGCACCATGCGAGGCTTTTAGGCGGATGTCAGCACGGCAGATCCTGACCAGTGATGCAAATGCTTACTTGATCCCAAGACAACTTCTTGGGCCTCTAGAAAATGCGACGAGGTGCTGCTCGAGCCCCGAGGTATCGGGCTGTAGCCACCTGTCAGGGTTGAATATGTACGGATCCGGGAAGACGTCCGGATTGTAGTGCATGAAAGTCGAGCCCATACCGACCACCGCCTGTGACAGATGTTAGGGCAGCTGTTTTCGGGAAGGAGTAGAGATGCGTACGCCAGCAGGTACCGAGACTCCATCAATCACGGCGTCTGTAGGACCGACGACGCGCGGCGCAGGGAGGACGACGCCGTGCGACATGCGCAGCGACTCCTTGATAACTGCAGTCTACATGGGAGGCACGTCAGCATCATCTTCGTAGCACCATGGAAAGCGGGGCCTGCATACGAGATAAGGTAGCTTCTCCAGCTGCGTGTAACGCATCTCGGTCTCTTTATCCGGCCAGGCCTCCTCTAGCTCCCGCACAAGCTTTTCGTGTACATTGTGGTGCGCTAAGATGAAGCACGTCCCCATGGTGCATGTGTTCCCGACGGTATCGCTCCCAGCTGCAAAGAAGTTGATCGCCTCATCCATCATAGTCTTCCGCGACGACCGCACACCATCAGGCGCTCCTTTTGCATTATGTGGCGCCAGGAAGCGATGCCAGACCGTCTCATGCGCCAACTGATCAAGGCGGTGCGGGTCTTCCAACAACTCGTCGATCTGCACGGCCGTCGTGCGCGCGATATCGCCATACAGGCCGTCTGTGGAATTGAAGAGCGCGTGTTTCGCGGCTCCGGCAAGCTCGCCGACATCGCGCAGCCAGGGGAAGCTCTTGAGCACAAGTGCGAGCGGGAAGCTCCTTTCGAAGTCGAGCACGAGCGGATGCGCGAAGTTCTGGGCGTCCAGTACGCGATAGTCGTGGGCAAAGGAGTAGGAGAGGATGATGTCGAGTGTCGTACAACGGTAGGCACGAAGCATGTTCACGGGCTCGTTGCGTTGCTCATGCGTGAGAATCCCTGAGACAAGAGCCTTGACCTGGAGTACGAAGACATGGAAATCAGCAGCGTATGGCGTCGAGTTAGACTACATGAGACGCACCTTGCGCAGCACAACGTCCTCCATATCAAGCACTGCTCGGCGCGAGAATAGAGGAAGCAGCATGTCCCGTCGTGTCTTGGATTTCTCTGGGTCCGTCATCCAGAAAGAGGACTCGTCCCCGCGCATGAAGCCGTAGAACCGCGGGTCCTTCGTGAAACGAATGCCCTTCGAATAGATGTCTGCATATGCTCGAGGTGTGTTGAAATGGAGCTAGGATGAAGAGTGAAGACTAGTCGTGCAATGGCGAGCACGTAGATGCACACCTCGTTTGGAGTGATTCTAACGACAGGTCCTATCGGAATGGCATGTCAACGAAGAAGCAGAGCGTTGCAAGTTTGACCCAAGCCTACCGTACCGCTTATGCAGCTCTTCCAGGTGCTCAATCAGTGCCCCATCCTTCCATACCTCGTAGTACGTTGAGTACCAGTATGTCGCCGCCGCAAGCTTTGGTCCAGGGAATCTTGCCAGCGGATGGAAGAACGAGCGATACAGTGTGAGCTGCGCAGCGATGACACCAGCAGCACCTAAAGCGATTGCCGCAGTATTCCAGGAGAGCAAGGTATCCATGCGGAGTGTAGTAGTAGAGGTCTATGTGCAAGCCGCAGCAGCAAGCAGGGTGATGCATCGGAGTCTAAGCGTGCGAACGCCGGGATAGTTGGCCGTTTGAGCGACTCGAAGGATGGGGATTAGGGGACGCGAACTTTGGACACCGGGTAGGTTGCTGCCGAGTTAATTATCCTCGTCGGCGCGTCGAGTCGACAAGGATCCTCAGGCCTCAGCAGACAGCAGGGCACAACTGAGGCAAGAACAATCGAGACAGGCGGGATTAGAATATTCATGTGTGCATAGAGCCGCGCACATGAGTCGCAGCGACCTGTGCCTATGCTCGACGTGCCAGTGGCCGTAGGGTGACAAGGCCGCCGCGTCGTTAAAACGCGGATAAGCTAATGCAAGGTGCGCGTCTCGGCCAATCTACCGTTGGCGCTTGGTATATCTGACTGCCGCGGTATGCTGGTGAGGACCATAATTCGGTGGAACCACATTACTGTCAAATGTGCGCAGTATACGTGCAGAGAACGTTTCAGGTGTGCTATACATTTTTTAAAATTAAATTAATTCACCATCATCCATCCGCGTGCAGGATCTGCTCGGGCTCAAGCTAGAGAGGAAATGCCATTCTCGCGCCGATGCATGCGCCGGCAATATATGAGAGATATAAATAAGAAATGATATTAGTTCATGGCACGGATGAGTGTCCAGAAGCGTAAGATCGTGTCAAAAGATTGGGGGAGGGGGTGGGACGGAGACTTGGTGACGTGCTCTAAGCATCCCAGATGCCTGTGTGAGCAGACCTCATTCAGATCGCGCAAAAATTGCAGGAGGGCTGAACCTACTGGACATGCTGCTGGCTCGGTCAGAATAAACGCCGTCCTTCTATCCGATGAGAATCACGTCGTCGAGCTCGACGCAGCAGCTGATGCTCCCCTGTCCGCGGGGCCCGCTCGAGTAATGTATAAGCGTGTCAGCCTTGCATTCATCGTCATCGGCATCGAATTCGTCGATGATAAAGTCAAGCGGCGCTCCGAGGTTGCCAATTATACTCGTGGATAGGAACGGCGCGTGCGAGACTGAAGTGAGGTGGAACGAGGGCGTGCGGCCGCGTAGACCGTCCAGGTAGACCATGCGCAGATTAAGCATGAATCGCGAGATGAGGATAAAGGTCAGCCTGGGTGCGGTGTATGCCGTCAGCTAGGGAGGTAAGTAATACTTTGGCGGATACATACGCGTCTACCAAGGAAGGGGCCGAGCCGAGTAGCTAACATGCCAAACAATTTGGTATGAGGATTATGACGAAGGGTTTCGTGGTTTAATTAGTACCTCACCTGTTCATTTACTGTGATGATATTCAAGACTCTCAGAGCCAAAATAGCGCTGCCCGTGTAGTCATCGTGAACAATAATGAAGAGTATGTTCTGTAAAACCAAGCCACTCACCCAAAATAGATTGTTCCTGCATGAGTATAAGTGTAGAATAAAGTCATGTAACAACTAGTGGCACGTACCATCTCGCAGAATCAGCACACCCAAAGGCGTGACGACCACGGTGTTGGAGCAAATTCTCACAGCATGCGCGGTGCGTATCCATGTCAGGACCAGGATGGACGCTTCAAATACAATGGAGTATGCCGGTTGGAACAAGCCCACTAAACCTGACTGAGTTATCGTTGACTAATGGCGGGCTCAGGAGTACACGTACTTCTGTACACAGTGTTACGTGATCTGTCTGAATATCAGGTCAAAAGTGTGCGAACTCACATCTCAAGTTCTCGAGCGCTGAGATAGATGGTAGAGGCACAGCCAGAGAATGGACGTGTGTATGCTTGTGAGGTTGACCTTGTCGAAGCGTACTGAAATTTTTTTGAGATCACTGTACGTCCAAACTGCCGTTGTACGTACCAATTCTACGCCGGGAAGGACAAGCCCACCCAGGAGTACGATGATCAGGATCTCCCCGTTCTGACTCCAGAGGGCATACAGTCGAAGGGACGTAATAGCTTCAAATTAAATTGAGAGCGTTAGACTAGACAGTGCGCCTGGAGGACATAGGTCCACCTATACCTGTCAAGTTGGTCTGCAGTATGAAGTAAAGGATATCTGAAAGTATAGACAACCCTGCGCAGCTGCGAATGTGTCAGACTATGCCGCGGTGAGTAATACGATGCTTACGTCTGCCCAGCTACTTCAGCCAAGCCGTGAAGACTATGCTATGTAGAGCGTACCTTGTCGGCAGTAGACACATCAACCCCGTTCCAAGCGGAGACCGCCTGCACGATAGTAAGCAGTGTGTACATAAGCGAAACATAGCGGTTGATCAGGTAGAGTATGGAAGCTCCTGTGAAGCTTCTCTTCCAGATGCACCGGATCTCAGATGGCAAGGTAAGGAAGTAGTCGTAGTAAAAGAGTGCTGCATGACCTCAGAATACTGAACGACAGATTAAACAGGGAAAAACTGACTGGCTGCTGCTATGGAAAAATAATTTGCTGTAAACCTACATAGAGCTCTCAGTCAGAGAACTGAGACGATAGAGCGCGGAGAATACATGCATCTGGCGTAATTTCTGCTCGATTAGCAGGAGCTGATCGGGGCTCCATAGCGGCGCTAAATAGGGCATGGTGCAAAAGAGTGGACGTGTCAGAAACGCACTACAACAGATAGAGGATCAGAAAGAACTGAGGCTTGCATAACTTGAGCATCCCATGCGATATATAGCTGGGCAGACTGATGAGGCCCACAGGCATCTGTTATCTACGGATTGTGAGAGATGCGTTGCATGGCAGGTACGAGGTAAATTGATACCGTTCCTTAGATACAGAATTTCGACTTTTCATCATGCGCAGCCACAGCACATCTCCGAAATATATCAACGCTTACCATGGCGTAGTGATTTGACTACATTGGAGGGCATTGGTACCTTTCAACAAAAAGCAGGCTAGATACTCCCAGAACTCCGAGGATGCGCTGAAACCATCTGGTGCCACACGATTGTTGCAATTGATAACAATGCGAGAACCAGTAACCAGCCGGTCGGCCTTGTGCGAGGGCAGCGTATATACTCGTATCCGTGTTCCGAAAGAGTGACGGTGGCTGCGCAACCCAGATCTTTCCACTAATCTTGACAGATTGTGGCACCGTAGAGCTTAGATACGAATCATTAGTATTTCCGCGAGAATGTTGACAACAGCAAGTGCAGAGTTTCCAGTCAACCGACCGCGCTCCATAGCGCTAGGCACGAACCAGGCGAGTCACATGACTACATCGCGATAGCGCTGGGCCGCTGGCCGAACCTGGAGCTAGCCAACGTTCGCTCTTTGGCGGAAAGAGCAAATTATGACGATTTTTGAATCATGCAACAGCTGTTACATACAACAATGCATGATAGTAGGTAGCTGCAGCAGGCAACTATTTGTGGCGCGAACAGCAACAAGGGTTGATAGGGCAGTGGGTCCCGGGAGGGCACATCAGATGAATGCTTCTCCCTAGCATGTTAATTTCGAGCTCTGCAGCGCTATTGTGCATACAGTCTCCAGCCCCTGAGATAGTGAATATGCTGCACCGGAAGAAATTATCAGAATCCTGTTGCAAACAACACAAGCATCAGCTGATTGAGAACTCCACGGCCACAAGACGATTGCCACTAACACATCAACCTGCCAACAGCTATGATATATCATGCCGCTGCGAACTATTATCATGCACGAGTACTGCAAAAACAAGACGTCAAAGGGAGAACCCTTGCTCGAGCCCCTTGCCTTCTCCTACATTAGTGCACAGATCTCCACCTCTTGTGACGACGGTGAGTGTTACCTTTTTGCCCATACTGGCATTACTCATTAGAAAGTATAGCCTCTGGATACATATAGTCGGAAACCAAAAGTACGCCTTCTCACCTGCGTACCGGCTGTCAACATGGTTCGACAAGAGTTCTGCATACTCATGCTCGTATTTGCCACAGCAATTGTTGAAGCGTGCCCGATAGAGTATGCACTGCAGCAACAAACTAAATTTAAAGGCCCTCTCAACTACCCATACTAATAACTTTACAGGTTGCCTAATCGCACTTCAGCTGCATTGCTTGACATGTACAGCGGAGATGAACACAACTTTCCAATGTGAGCGGCATCTTACTGGAGCCCACCAAGCTGATTTGAATCTAAGCCGACGAATTCTAGCATGAAGAGAGAGATTGGCTGCCCAATTGGCCCACATCCGGGACATACTGGGGTAGTGTAACTTATGGGAATATGATATCTCTTGCTGGTTAAACATGCAAAGCTGGTGATTGTAGATAATGACTCACATAAAATAAACAATATGACTCGAAATTTGTGTACAGTGTGCTCTACTCGAGAAGTGTGGCGAGTTCATCAACTAGAGGGTATCATAGCATGAACATCAGGTGCTGCAAACAACAGGATATTTGGCTCTAAGACCAGCAAGCTGAAGATTGTTGTGAATTGGATTGTGCAGGCAGGGGATTCATGAGTAATCAATGGTAAATTCCTAGGATAATGCATCATGTTCTTTTAAATGTTATCTACTTCCTAATATATTCAGTCCAATACTTATGTATGCTGAGGGAGCTGAGATGAGGGGAAACGCGGCGGAGAGTGAAAGGGCGCCAGAGTCGAGTGCACTTTGCGCGTGTCATATCTAAATATGGAAAGAGAGCGATGACATCATTGGGTGGTAGCATTCACACTGGGTGGTAAGCGTAAAATTAGCCAAAGACTGATTGAACAAGACCCCAACTTTCTCCGTGAAAATAAAAAAACAAAAGGCAAAACTCAGTTTTGCACCAGTTTTACTGCGTTTTAGACCATTTTGGCTGGTTTTGCACCAGTTTCTCCTCAGTTTGCATCGGCGTAGAGTTGAGAAATAACTGGGCCTTGTTTAGCCACTTTTTTCTGAGTTTTCTCAAGAAAAAAACTGTGCTCACCACCCTGTGTCAATGCAGGCTGCAATGGATGCTACCACTCATGTAACTGCGGGAATGCGCCTCATTACAACAAAGATATACAAACATGCAGAGAACAAGTCGGTATAAGAAGGGTGCAAAAAAGAGCTATGAGACAAACTCACTAGGCAACAGTCAGCATACAGGGAGAAGGTCACTTTCTCCTTCTATAAGTCAGACAATGACTTTATCAGCACTTGCCTTCTCAAAGTCCCCACGACTCCAAAATTTGCCCCTTCCTGCTGTGCTGTGAGATGTAGTTTCCTTGCATGTGATATTGGCTACCTGTACAGCAATTCAAGCACTGTTTACAAGAATCAATGCTGCTTGTAAATGTGATGTGGATCCACAGTATCTTTAGAGCTGAGTGACACAATGCAAAGAGAGGAAGTATCCACGTTGAACTCTAGGTTCCATATCCTTTGCCCAGTCACCATAATGTTAGATCTGGCAGGCTGTCACACATTGATGGTGGCTTTGAGGTCATATGCGCTTAGGGATAACTGTATGTTGTGCAAGTCCAAGCCCTTGGGACACCCTAGTTATAGCTGGAGTAAGCG